AAGGAGACTGCCTGAGCCCTACCCTTTTCTGCCTAGTGATAAATATGTACAACAAATGGGCCAATAATCAAACATTGGGATACAAAATGAGTGCTCCGGCCAATTCTTCCTTACAATCGTTAAGGATAGCGACAAACTCGTACATGGATGATATGGCTATGTTTGGAGAAACATTTGATGACGTTCAGACGCTACTAGCTTTATTCGAGCGCTTTCTGTCATACTACGGTATGTCGCTCAATAGTTCCAAGTGTGCGTATCAGTTTCAGGAACCAGATGGCATATTCTTACCACGACAACCACAAACTAAATGGGGAAAGATCCCAATCTACGGCCCGAAACAAAGCTACAAATATCTTGGTTACTTTATCAACATCAATCTTGACTTTGCCACTCAGCATAAAGAAATGACCAAGCGATTGAACAAAGCATGTGCCAATCTTTTCAGTGAGCACAGGATAAATGTTCAGGAAGCTGTCACGTACGTAAAGTCGGACCTTGCCTCTGTGTTACGCTATCGCATGTACCTTATTGCGTTTCCTCAATCAAACCTCGAAACATTTGACGCACGACTTGCATCCGCCGTTAAACGCCTCGCGCAACTTGCTCACTCCACACCCACAGACATGCTCATAGATCAAGGCCTAATAAACGTGTATCAAATGCAAGGTACCATTCGCACAGAATTCCTAACTGGTGCTCTTGAGTCTGCAGACGAGCAATGTCGTTTGAGCTCACGAATCATGCATTCACGCTTATCATTAAAATTGGCGTCAAAAGAATTTGGCGGAGTCTCCCCTCTGTCAAAAGTTGGGTTGTCCATACAGTCGAGCTCGGACGACGAGCTGAGATTAATAGATAAACTTATGCCGCCGCTTTTCCGCGGAATCCGCCGACATTTAATCAGATCTAATACCTCTATCTCTACATCCTTCAACTACAAAGTACAATATGATAGTCGCGAAATTGATAGAACTCTTGTCCCACTTGCTTTCAATGCCTTGCTAAATCATGGAAAACACTCGCTTAGAAATTGCACTTTCGACCGCGCGAATGTGCTTTTTGATAGCCTAACAACTTGTCCATACATGTCCCTTGATGAGATCTCCCCTCTGTTTATTACAAGATTTGATGGCTTGGAAACCTGGGAGACGATGAAAGGTTTAAGCTACTCAAATCCCCAAAACATGCTCGAAATATCCGGGTATAAAGCAATATTTGAGCCTATCCCATTCCTTACAAAACCACATGATGCCTTGCCTCTTTCAAAGCTGTACACTTCTCTACTTGCTGAACTTGTCGCTCAATTTGTATTCCACTTACTTCAACAACATCAGCGCGATCCAGACTATACCATTGAAACGAAAAAATATGGGGCATATTTGCAAAGCACACCGTGTCTGCGTCCATTGCTGTGGTAGATGGAAGCTGCTCGGATAAGGCTATCTCACCAGTATCCGCGGGATTCTCGGTCGTCTTTCCCAACTCGGGCTTAAAACAAGGTTTTGCAGCAGCAGTACGTTGAGAAGATGCTTATTTTTATAAGGGCAGAATCCCGGGTGCTCAAACCATTGAGCGTGCCGAGGGCTTTGCAATTCTCGGCGCACTATTACTCGCTGATGTTAACTGTCCCTTAACAATCTACACCGATTGTCAAAAACTAGTCACTGATATTCGGCAATTCCAACATCGCCTGGGCCTAGAATTCATGAGATTGCAAAATTGTCAAACCGATCAATTTTGCTGCGTATACTTCATGAAATTCAAACACGCAAGGATACAACCCGAGTAGTATATTTGCAAAACCATGTTAAGAAAGGAAGTCACGGTGCACAGAGCGGCATATCAAAGTTTGTCCAGATTACACAAATTCAGCCAGCTGGCCGATTATGAAGCAAGTCTTACTCTGTCTCTTCCTCGACCCTCCATACCAGATGAAAGGATGTTCCATTCAAACACTGTTTTAAACAAACATAGTCACTCGTCACCTGATACGCCTCCGTTATCGGAAAAAAACAGCCTGTGGAAAATGTATAACAAGCTTTTTCAGGATTCATGCCAACATTACAAATATAAAGGAAAATGGCATTTATATATGCTCTCTCCGAGTATCTGGTGGCAAGAGGCATCCTTTTCAACTCTTCATCAAAAGCGCGGTAAAGAATCATTGAAACGATTTATCATTCAAATTCTTGGTAGAACGCTCCCAACAAATCATCGAATGAATCTCACACGCTCGCGATTATATCCCAATCGTCAATGTCAATTTTGTCAGGCAGACGATGAAAACATCGAGCACATATTTTTTCAATGTCCACATTTTGCGGCGTCTCATATAGCAATCCAAGATGAAACAATTGCAAATGTACAAACAATCCTGAGTCAACTCAAAAAATCTGCATTTTCGGCTGGCCATACGTTTCCAACTAAACAAACAGTGACGGAACAGGTCTCCAGCTTATTGTTCCCCGTCCATGTTGATCCAGAGGATTACCGATTATTCAGCGCTGCCCAGATTCCAATACAGTTTTGCACTTGGCTCAGTAGTTTCCTCCATGACAAGAAATGCATTCTTAAAATAGGCTGTAGTATCCACGAGCACTTAGCATACTCATATCAAAAGTTATGGCAACTTCGCTGTTCAAAAATGGCAATTGGAAAAGTCGACTTTCGAGCAAGACTTTCAACTTTTGCACGCCCGGTGCCTCTTCACGAGCTAAATGACGATGATTTTGCGGCTAATCTAAATAACCTTAACAATGTAGCTTTAAAAAATCCACTTAAAGTTGGAAAGAAAAGGAGAAAGAAAACGACGATCCGCGCTCAAATGCAGTTCAACTCCGCTGCAAATATGAAGCCTTCGACACCTTGTAAACCTGTCTTTCCAGTTACTTCTATTGATCAAAAGCGCAAACGACAAACTTCAAATTCTCAACAAAATGATTTACAATCATCGTTTTTGCCACGGGGTCCAAAAATGTTGCGCCTTCAAAAAAGTTTGTCAACTTTCCAACAACTGCAACAAACTTCCTTTTTACCTTTGAACAACATTTTCAATGAGACCTTTACGCGGCTTAGCATCGAACCTGACGGCAATTGCCTCTTTCGATCAATATGCGTTGCGCAGGGTTTGCCAGGACTACAACATATGTCTTTGCGACAAAGATGTGTCCGTCAAATAGCGTTATCCTAGGACAGATATTCGATCCACGCAAATTTTTGTCATAAACCCGACCAGCCAGACGCTCTCTCATTGGACGCCAACATTGTTGAATTATTTTCAAACGCTCAAATGTATTGCAACTACATGAGTCAAAACGGCAAATGGGGTACCCAGCTTGAAATAAACGTGCTAGCTCAAATACTGCAACTACCAATTTTGATTTGGAAATTGGAAACAAGGAAACCAATGGATATTATTAATTATGATCCGCAAACCAACAAATCCGCAAATATGATCCATATTATTCACTGCAATGGAAACCATTATGAGGCCCTCATTTACTCCGGTGGTCGTACAACTAATGAACGATTAACGCGAGAACTTGCTCAGCAACAAGTCAATGATCGCTCCTTGATCCAAATTCCAAGTCACGACGAGCTCCCACAACAATCGAACTCGCAAACCAAAAGGAACAAACGCGTCCACAACTCAAAAGTTTCCAATGACCAACAACCAAAGAGGTTTCGTCTGTCTATAATGGACAGCATAACTGCCAAGAGAATCAGAGCTTTTCCGGGACTAGAACGATCAATGGTCCATCAGAAAAGAACTCAGAATGACTTTACTGGATGATGAAGACTTTCGCATTCTCAAACGTCTTGCCCGAGATGGCTGCAATACCTTGACCAGGAGACCGCAGAAACGACGTAAGGTAACATGAGGCGGAGAGGAGGCTCAAGTAGCCTCCCGAGCCTCTGACTTTTTCTATTTCTTTTGCGCATCTATATTCTTGACACTTGAGTATGATGTTTCGACGTCGGAAAGAGTGGAAGGATATAGCGCTCGAATATGTGTGTCAAAAAAAAAAATGCATTTTATGCATGGCGAAGTGTCGCGAAGAACAAGCCAGACATTGCATCTGCATCGTCCGATAGAAGCCACTTCTTGAAATCGGCCGGTGATGCTTAGCCTAAGCGTCTTGCAGAGAATGTGACGACTATCATTCACTCTGGAACTGCCAAGTCATCATGTCCTACCCCCACTTCCAAAATTTCGAACTCAAAAGAACGAAGTCGAGGCGAGAACAAAGTGTGAAAAAACTCCTTGAAAGGCCAATGAGCGGCAAGCTTTTACTGGGTAGCGCCGTTTCCCGGTACGGTACCTGGACCATTGGGTGCCGGTGTTTGGAACGGGACGGCATATGTACCGGCTCTTGCTTGTTTACACAGGCTCGGAACCGCCTTCGCGTCATCCATCATCATCATGGCCGAACGCAGGCTCTTCCTTGAACTTGAAGTTCTGCAAGGTTGTCTCCTCCTTCGCTTGCTTGGCGGAGTTGCGCATGCTGAGAGACCAGTAATCCAAGGGTCTGACGGGTGGGGCACACACCAGGCTATCGGAGGCAACACTTTCTGATCCTCAGACTTCTGATGGCTCCAAGCGAGCAACCCCTGTGTCTGCCCTGCTCAATGACGAGCCGATGGCACGGTCTTTCAGCCCCACTCGAAGAAGACTGCCCGGGAAAGGCTGACGCAGTTTGCTGCAGGCCCACCGCTGAGCTAAGCGAGGGTGGCGCCGAGGGCAACAGGCAAGCCCGCCGTACTGTCTCCGATGATGGATTGCATCGTTTATGCCCTATTTATCCAGATTCTGTTTTTTAGTTGTGAAGTGGGGTAGTCAGCGGGAGGGTGGGCTCGGGATTTGATAAAGGTCCTTGGGCAGGGAGTGCTCTTGCTGTCACCTTTGTGGCATCCGTTTTGGTCCTCAGAAAGCGCTGCGAGATTGGAGTTGGTTTGCAATCGTTCTATATTCGAATGGAGACCTGCTTGTTTGTCGACTATCCTGTTCAATCTTTGTCTTACTCCTCAATATGAGTCTGTCTCTGATATTTTAAGCCCCTGTAAAACGAGTCTTCTTCCTGCTTCATCTTAAATGCACTCTCGTGTTTGCAGTTCTCCCCCGCTTAACCACCTTCCGTGCTCTTCGGACCCGCTCGATCAGCAACGTCAGTCCCCAGAAACCCCCTGGAAGGACAGCCAAACCCCTCAATCCGACTCCGCCCTCCTCCCTGGAGACCTCGGCCTCGACGCCGACCTCTGGCGCGAGATCTTCTCGCACCTCCCTCTGGATGCCCTCCCCGCAGCGGCGGGAGTGTGCAAAGTCTGGAGCGGAGTCATAAGCGACCCCCAAGTTTGGGCCGCGTCGTTTGTGCACCGCTGGAAGTTGAGGAAAGTGCACGGAGAACCGGTGTCCCGGGCGTTTTGGCGAGGGGGGCTCGGGCAGTTTGTGGTGGCGCACAGGCTGGAGCCGCAGGATTCGGTGGTGTCGCTGGCGATCAAGTTTGGGGTTGAGGTGAGGAATGTGGGGAGAGAATGTAAAAGGACGATGTATTGCACTGCAGGATGGGTGAGAGAATAGGAACATTTGGAAGGAAAATGATCGTGTTGTTTCCTACATGGGCTCACGAGTTGGCTTCCAACGTGGGCTCTGTCACGAGAATGAGCGGAGTGCAGGCTTGTTGTCCCAGGAGACTCCACTGCTCGACCCGCAGCTAGTTGTATCACAGGTCTTGGGATGAAGATGCGCCAAACAGTGCGAGTTGACCAGACGGATGAAAACGGGGAGGACCTAAACTAATTGCGGGAAGAAAAAGTGAGAAATCCCCGGAGAGGCTACTTTTCAAGGCTAGTGACAGTGTAGATGGGGAACATTCTCTCGTTGCTATTGCCATCTCTTGAGACCCCTTTTGCTTTTCAAATAGCATTTCGTTTGGTTGCACTGAATGGTGACCCCGTCTGCAGCCTCTCTTTCAGTGCAGGTTCGCAAGCAACCCGGGCCGCAATGAAGTGATATTCTGTCAAAAGTGAACGCACATTTGACCAATATCGAGGTTTGCGAGGTGTTTGTCTTGCGTCCCCTCGTTGCTATTCTTGATTGAAAGGGAGGACTCATTCTATCAGGTGGCTTTCTTTTTCAGGTGACTGCTGTGAAGCGACAGAACAACATCATCAGCGAGCATTCAATTCACGTTCGGGAACGGCTGCTCATCCCGGTCCCTGACGCCAAGTTCCTCGAGGGGAAGGACTGCTTTGTCGAGACCGACAACTACTCCCGTCGCGAAGTCGCCGTTCTCTACGTAAGGGGATCCCCCCGGGGCCAAGAGTCGTTGCAAACCGAGGCAGCCGAGGGGGGCAAAAACGCTGGGGCACTGGCTCGGTCGAAAGAGCGGTTCCGAGAGAAGATGGTGCAAACGCTGAGGAAAGGGATCAAAGTCGACGATGCGACTGCCAGATACTACCTGGCGCAGAGCGGGTGGGATCTGAGGGGGGCATATGCCGCGTTCCAGGTGGATACGGCCTGGGAGAGTCAGCGGCAGCCGCGGTGGCTGGGGCGGTCGTGATAGGTTGGTTGAACAATTGCGTAAACCAGAAGGCTCGGTTCGCGAGAACGGGTTGTCCAAGGTGTTGGGGGCCTACATTGAGAAGCGGCCCATAAACCTGTTGAGGGCTTTGATGAGATTGAAACCCTGCTTTCGAGCAGGTATAGGACGAGAAATCACCCCTCGGCCGCGCAAGTGTACATGTTCGCATCGTTAAATAGCTGGTCTGCTGTGCAGTAACTCTAGACTGGGTGCTTTAATTGTTCATAGCGTAGACCAAGCCCCGCTGACAGCCGTGTACAGTCTCCTGCAACTATCGGCGACACTGCGCCTGTACACTACGATAGGGCTCACCGTGACAGCAACGTACAAGTTGTACACTACAAAGCAGGAAGGGCAGGTTGGACTACACGATTGCGTGCATAGCTCTCGAAATAGGATATCAGCCTGGCATGGATTATCAAGCTACAGTAGTATGCAGCTTGTCTCGAGTTGCTTTTGTTTGACGGGTTTGCGTGGGATTAGCGCTTTGGTGAAGTTACCTTGTAGGGTTAATAAGCACACGTGCAGACTCGGGTTAGGCAATCTAAACCATGCACCCCGACTCTCAAGTTCATCATTACACAAAACACCAAGTATAACGATATATGTATCGTACTGATCATGTTGAGGGCCGTATAAGTATACTGGCCTAGCTGCATGCAACAGATTCTTTCTGGGCCCCGCGTTGCTCATGCAAATTCTGCCTGTAGTAAAAGTCTCCGCACTTACTTGATGGATACCATCTTCCAGAATCTGGCACGGCCGGCCTGCTGTGCCCAGCCGCCTCTGTTCACCATAAGTTTGCAATCATTGCAGCGGTGAACTTAATAAACGGCTAGCTGGCACATGTGAATCAATATACCAATTGCGCAATGATCGTGCGGGAGCGCCTATAGGCCGGTCTGTAGGGCTAATCACGTTGACTTGATATGTTGATAGGATTCTGAGCGCAATTACGGCCACCAGCTCCAACGTGTAGACTGTGTGATGTGTGTGTCACGAAGGCACGGATGGAAAAAGACTGCATGGCAGGCGGCAATCAAATCAACCAGTGAAAACCGTGTGGATCACACCTGCATTTGGCTCAAGGTACTGATACGGACAAAGCACGCAAAGTATTCCGACGATGCAGCACAGATCGCATGGTATGCCGTCAATATCAACTTCAATGCTCATGACAGGAATCGATCAAAACTCCAACTCGGTCACTATCTCTTCAGCCGCAACTTGACCTAGACTTTCAGGCGCACCAGGTGCGATCGCGGCACCTGAATGTATTTCTCAACCTTCTCAACTTTCACATACGCTTGTCTACAACCTGGACACCTCCCGTCATCCAAAGCAATCCTGTGGTGGCAGAACAAGCACAACCGGAACCCGCACGGGCACGGCACAAACGAAGTATCCGTCAAATCGAGCTCCTCTGTACAAATCGGACACGTCGCGGGCGCCGCGGACGACCCCCACATCGTCCTGCTTATTGTTGCCTCCCACATGGACCCCGTGTGATTGTGCGGCACTACTGGAAAGCTGTTGAACTTCTCGAGGCGCGGGAGTGTGCCGGGGCGGTGCGAGTCATCTTGCCGCCACGCGCCCCCGGCCCCCGCCCTATGGTGATGCCGCGCGCACGCGTCTGGGACCTCGGGCGCTAACCTCCGGGTCAGGTATCCGTTTTGCGTGCGCGGGGACGCCCCCTCGCTCGCCGTGGAAACCCCGCTTTCGTCCCCCGCAAGGTGACTGTGCGACCCGTTCTCGCTCGCTACCCCAGTTTCCGAACCCGACTCAGGGACCACAACCCCAAGCGCCTCCGCCGCCGCTTCCCAGTCGTCAGCATCCCCCCCACCCTCGTTACTCTCGGGCCCCTCTTGCGGCCGCACACCCTTCTTCATTTTCGCCTTCTGAGCCTTCTGCTGCGGCGCTTGACTAGTCGCAGCATCCTTCGGCGCAGCCTCCTCATCGTGCAACGACCGGAGGGCGGGCTGCGTTTGCCATCGCCGCAAAACCGGCTTTTCCCCCCCATGATGATACCCGTTGCTGCTGTCTTTACTGTGCCCGTTGCTATCCGACCCTGAACCGTTACTATGCCCCTTTGACTCCGTACAAAACGAAACAGCTTTCGAGGCAGTCCCATTCCCACTTGTATTGCTCGGCGTAGTGCTTTCCGCAGGAAAGCTCTCGTCTATGGTCGTTTCCCCCGCGCAAGGGTGAGAGACATCGCCGTTGCTGGACACTTGACTAGGAGGACTCTTTCTCCCTGAGACTGTGCCCAAAAATAGAAGGCCTAGTCAGAAGCTGCTGCATTCGACATTGTTGCGTCCAGATGAAAAGAAAGAGCAACAACCAACGTGTAATGAACCAAAATCCCAAGTTGTCTCTTTTTCCTCCTTTAGAGAAAAGTACCAGCGCAAGAGCTTCTGCAAATTATTGCTGAGTGAATGACTGCAGACCAGCAGCCTGGAAGAATACTAAATGTTTCGTTTTCAATCGCTTAGTACAAGGAAGGTTCCAACCTTTAGTTGATCAGAAATCCCGGGGCCTCAGAGATGGAAGGCTAACGTTTCAAGTGCCACGTCACTTCTTGCAACCCACAAAATAAAACCGGAAGTGCAACAACATAAGACCAAACTGTCATTCACAAATTAGCCTGACATCAAATCGAGAAATTCTCGCAGTGTTTCACTTGTGCACAATCCCCTCAATCAAAGATTCTGCCACCGGCGCACAAAACCCTTGCTATTCCCTGTCCCAAAAGGACATCTCCACTGTCTACAAGGGCTTTCAAAATGTCGATCAAGCAAGAAACCACTGACCTTGTGAAAGCCACTGCTCCCTTCGTGCATCCAGTTTGCTCTGCTTCAGTTTAGCCATCTTACTGGCCTGCACACAACGCGCCATAGAACAATCACGCCAAATCAAATACTAGACTCTGGAACTGCCACGTAATTTGAGCTGTTTGAAAAACCGGGGCAAAAACCGGCCCATGTAGCAGCGCATGAAACTAGGACTATTTCTGTCCCACTCAAAAAAGCAGCTTCTGTGACAGTCGCGAACCCTTTTATTACCCTTGGCCTGCTTCTCCTAGCAGTTTTGGCTGCAGCGCGGATGGTGGTAGAGTTGTCTGACATGTGGTCTAGAGCGAATCGGCTGATAACTATATTCAATGCCAGAAGGAGAAACCCTAAATGGAAATGGAAACTTGAACTTGCCAGAAAACCTGCATAACTTCCGGGCATGAGCTCCAACAGATGTCCACTCAAGATCTGCGTCAAAGAGTTTGACCTGACTGAAGACGAGCTGCAGGTGTTTCACCTGCTGTGTTCTGAGCTGTCTAAACACCATCTTCATCTAAGTTTTAAGTTCCAAACTGAAGAGCATAAGAAAGATAAGCTTCCTTCAACTTGTAATTCAAAACCACAGCTGAAAAGACAAAGAAGTTGAAAGTTCAGGCCAATTCGCAAGCGCCATTACCAATGAGTATCTTCAAGATACTCATTTGAAGGCCCAAGGACTCGGATACCTTGCCCTAAACCACCACTAAACCCCTGATACCAGTTTTGAAGGACCGCCAAGAGGCTACTTTAAGCTTTCCTTTAGCTTCTACACTCTAGTTTTTATGTATTCTGGGAGCACCAAAAGGGCTTCAAGCCCAAACCCCGGGCTGAATGTCGAGCACACTGCTTAAAAGCCCCCTTACCTTCTTCCTCTTCGGACTCTCCTTGACCCCCACTTTCAGATGGTTTGCTTGTGCATCCACCGCAGAGACAAGAGCATGGTTCCCATTTGCTTTGCCATTGCTCCCTGCATGCTGCAGATCTGATGGACTGGGAGGTTCCTGGCCCCCCTCTGGAAGGATAAACCCTGCCATCTTTGCAGGCTACATTGATGCCCAGCGCGTTTGCTTTACAGCAAACCTTGCGCTCCCGTCTGCTTTCACAACGTTCAAAGAACCGTCTTTCCAGCGGCGCCTCCGAAACCCTCTCCTCTCAAAACTCTCTTCCAGATTCCTGCCCGCTTAACAGCCAAACCCTTAGAGAGAGCTTACAAAATCCACGTCCACACCTGAGAGAGAGTCACACAACAAGAGAAAGCGCCACAAAGCTACGAAGATCCAATGAGCCTTGTGCTGCGAAAAAGATTTGTCTTCCCAAGCAAGGCGTTTCAGAAGCTTCGAAAGCGTGGCCCCATCATCGAGCTCCTTGCACCGTGGATATCTTTCAAGACCGTATCGAGCGGTTCAGCTTAGCTGGTAATGTTCGAGTCGGGGCGTATCTTCGACCGTCGATGCTGACCTTCTTTTCGCCTCACTGGTTGGCCACGTCAACTCGGTAGTCCCTCATCCGACGGCTCCAATTGCAGGTGGACCTTCGTCATCGGACGGTCGTGACTCGCTCTAGTCCAGGGTATCGCGTAGTTCTTCCGACCAGGAAGCTGAAACGTCGCGCTTTACGATGCGACGACCGCCTGCGGTAGACCCTACGAACCCACAACCTTCAAATTTACCCGGGCGCGATCGCCGCGGTCGCGTAAGTTTCACTCGGTAAATTTTTGCTGCACCGTAGACTGGCGACACTTAAGCAGAATTCCGGCAGATTGTCTTCGAATCCAGTCTGCGTTTCAGACCTGCAAGAAGTGCCCTGTCCCCCGGTCGAGCGGGTCAGACCATAGCAGGCCTATGTTTGGCGGCAAGTCCGCCCGGTGGGTGCATTGGACCTGGGGGTCGACGGAGAACTCCTCTAGGCTTCAGAAGTCCCCGGTAGATACCTTAGCTTGTGAACCTTACCGGGCGGACTTGCGGCCAAAAACAGGCCTGCTATGGTCTGACTGGCCTACCCGGGGGACCAGGGCATCCCTTACAGGTCTGAAACGCAGACTGGATTCCAGGACAAAGTGCCGAAATTCTGCTAAGTGTCGCCAGTTTATAGTGCGACAAAATTTCACTGAGTGTATTCGCGCGGCTCTGCCCGGGTCAATTTTGAAGGTTGTGGGTTCGTAGGGTCTACCACAACGTGCAGAGTCCAGACCCTCAATTTCCGATGATAAAGTTTTTGAGCTGTGAAGGAGCCTTTGCGGTGATCGACACGAAGTAGGTACACCTGTGCACCACCTGTGGGTGTAGATTTGTTTTCAAATACCGGTATATGAGTCAGCTTGTACTGCAGATTTGCACTGGCACGTGAAACCATAAACTTTGGTCCCATCTACAACACTCTTCTACAGATCCTCATGAAGCAAAACTGGTACAATGGCAAACTTGTACGTAGAGATCTGCTAGGAGGTTTTGGGACCGGTTTCCCAATTGGCAATCTGTTTGAACGTGCCACAGCCCACCGGCTCACCGGCATTCCAATGGGATTCCAATCGGTCAAAGAAGTGCAGTCACAAACTCGTTATATCTTGTCAGTGCAAGCGAATAAGCTACTCAATCTCACCTCAATCTGGTATGATAAGAAACGGCCGCCTGCTGAAGCCGCCGGTCTTCCTGACGTTTCTGAGAAACGTTTTATGGTTTTATGGTTGCGTGTCATCTTGGCCGTCGTGCGTCACCATTTCGTCCGAGGTCCTGGATGCTAGACGTCGACTACCGTTCTATAGAGAATTGAAGAACATGAGCATGTCATTTCAGTTTCCGACACTAACGACAAAATCGACACTTAAAACCTTTGATAATCCACCTGAGATCGAAGAGGCTTACGTTTGTAACCGCGCATATGTTGCATACTGTCAGTTCAATCATAGGCGTCAGCTTCACTGCTTCTGGTGCACGTTGACTTGGTCGAACACTTATCCCCATTGCTCCTTGAAGAGGCTGTACGCTTTTCCGACGAATTGAGTCAAAAAGATTACTGGGTCGTCTTTCAAGGCTCCCAAGAAACTTTGAAACAGTATTGGTAGTCCCTCGACGGGGTCAGATTCAAGTTTGCATCATTGGGATCCAACTTCAGAGAATCAAACCTTTGTCCGTTGCAGTTCTGCATGTTTCGATGGAAAGAGTTAGCCCCGTCTTGAATTGCAAGAAAATCTCGGTAGGGTCACCTTTGAGAATCGACCGTTACACGCTGAGAAGTGAGGGGTGCACGTCTGCAGACACAATCAAACTTGAGGTCGCAAGACCACACCTCTTAAGGTTCAAACCCAAACCGGGGGCGCTTCCACCGTTTCCTTCATGCGTCCTTATCTTTTAGAGAAGCGCCCATCAATGGCAAATGAGTACGTTCCTTTGATGTTCTTTTTGGGAAGGGCCCTTCAATAAGATGGGCTCCAGCAAGAGGGATGTCATAGGGGACTAAAGTTTGGGGTTTAGGGAGCGAACGGTTCAGAAACATGGGGCTTGCGATGCGGGGCTGTGAGCGGATGTCCGTTCTCGTGGGACTTGGGTTCCTGTTCGCAGTAGTTAACGCATACGCTGCCGCGGGGGCGGTGCGATTGGCGGGCCCGGAAACGGTGGGCGGTATGAGGAACGTAGTAAGCCTTTGATGGAGCCCGTGCAATGCTGACGGAATTATTTTCCTTTTTTGAATAATAAGTTGTAAACACCGCTTATCCACAGAGTAACATACGCCGATTGCTAGGTCGAGTACATGTCTGTCAACACTAGGTCAAGATCAGAACGGAATGCGTTTCCGGAAACGAATGGACGGATGGTAACGGATTTTGCAGTGCTCTCCCATCTTCGCCTTTCGATTCGGCAGGTGTTCACGGCTGGATGATCCGCCAATCATCTAAAAGGTGCGCTGCTAACAGAGCGATCTGATCCGTGTTTCATTCAGGTGTATACACTGACTGTCGGACCGTCAGGGCTTCAAGGCACCCTAGGTTAGTCGAGCTTTCTCCAACATACACTCCGAACCGGAAGCAAAATAGCTTTCTGAATCGTCGGAAGGTTGCTTTTTGCGACTTCCACACAGAAGTTGGCTTGTGCAATAGCTGCGCAGCATACAATGAATCACACTTTCGAGAGCAGCGAACTTCAGTAGAAAAGATGAGAAGGGGCGGCAAAACCTCGGTAGCATCCTCGTCATGCTGCTCGTGAAAGTCGCCTGAGTCTGACGTCGAAATCTTCGAGTCGTGTTTTTTCCAAGGTGCTCCTGCGTCTTTTGATAAAGCGACATCTGCCTACCAGTCAGGTGGCAGGTGGTCGCCTCTTTTTTACGAGTTGCCGAGTTCTGAGCTGGTTTCAAGTAGAGTACGGGTGGCTGTTGAGCGGGTCTCGAGCAGCCCTCGTCTACAGCCCTTCATCAAATTGAGCAGCCCTCTTTGACCGTTCACCTCTTTCCTCATTTGCATGCCTGATCCCTTCCCCACCCGTTGAAAAAGCACAAGAACCAGAAGCAGGCTCTGTTTTGCGGCAGGTAAACCTGATTTTTCTTTCGCAGATATCAACGGGTTGGCACCCAGCACAGCTGACGTCACGCTGACGCTGGCGCCAACCACGTGTTGCACCCCGGCGGGGAGCGGTTGCCAGGTGGGCTGTCCCGAGCATGCGCAACCAATACCATTAGCAGAGTCACTCCTCATCTTCAATTCAAGTCGGTCAGATTGAGCCACAGATGTCACATCACGTCTGCTTGCTTATAATCCAAGCCGCCTGCAGCTGGGGACATGATCGAAGCCGGGCGTATTGTTGGACTCCAAAGCTAATAATATTCCGCAGGCGCCCACTCGTCGAAGTCGCCAAATCAACAGGCTGAGCCGCCCTGTCATGGAGACCGTTTCGTGTCCGAATTGCGGCCGCCTTGTGAGTTTATCTCGTATTCAACGATCAACCCCTTTGAACTGAAAGGGCAGTCATACAACCTGGAACATAGTAGGTTAACCACCCTTCTGCGAGGCGGTTAAAGCCTCGTCAGACACTCCTTACGCTCTTTCCGTTCCGTTTTGTAGGCAGTCACCGTCTTCGGTCGCACGGATGGAGAGGAGAGATCCTCAGCCATCGGTTCCGCTGTAGGGTGGCGCTTTGGGCTTTCCGCTGAGCAAGTGAGAACGGACGGAACCCAGCGGAACTCCTGATTCAGCCGTTCCGTTCTTCGTTAAGATACATGAAATCCATTTCTCCTTGTCTTCTGGGGCTGGCTAGCCCATGTCGGCTAAAGAATTTCTGGTCAATTCTGCGAGTACGAGCCCTCAAACTTGATCTCGAGGAAGTTGATTGCGGCTGCCGACTAAAGCGCTGAATCTTCTGTTTAGATTGCACAATGTCAAGCGCTTTAAATCGACGTCATAGGACCGCTGTATAGAAGTCACAAACAATACTTCGCATCCGAGTAGCTCGGCCTGTGCGCTGAAAGATTGATTTTGACTCCATCGGACGCATCTCTTGCAGGACCTTGTCGCGTCTAACACGTGGTGCGATCTCCGCTTGAGCGCCGGGAGCGGCGTTCCGTCTCAGTTCCGCCTATACTTGAACAACTCCGTCGCGGAACGGCCGGCCCCGACCAGATCAGCTAGCCTATCAGGAACAGGTAAACACGAACAGCTTGGAACGTGAGATCAAGCTATTTTAGGACAGTATTGCAGGAACTCGTTGCAGTCAGACAAAGAGCCAGGCTTTCTTTGTTACGTGAATCCGGGGATGATGATGGTCAGAAACAGCAAAGCGGAACAGTTGTCCATTCTATAAAGAGTTGTCAAGTAACGCTGAAGGTACAAACTGAGCTCGATAGGAACGTCCCGAACCCAGAAACCGGAACGCTTTACTTGGTCCGAGCCTCGAAAAGGTTCTGATGCCCGGATCTGATCCTGTATGAAACAATGGGCTCGAAAAACACGAGTGTTCATCGCGTCGAAGTTTTGCGCTCTCCTCCGTGCAGTATCATGTCCAGCTGGCACCTTTGTAGTGGTTTACCTGGGCAACCCGTCGTGCCAGCAGAACTGCACAATCGACCAGACCTTTGTGAGTGCCCCTCGAATTTCCCCTGTCTCATTCGAGCCCCTCTTTTGGCAACAGCGCAATGTCACGAGATGTTCAATCTAGCATTTCAGCTTTATGGGTCTTTTCTTCAATGCAGGAGAACGTTCTCGAGGCAGTAGTAACGGGTCAGAGGTTTTCTCAAGGATTTACTCTTTTGTTATGAACGGCGGTTTCTATTATTGGGAGAAGCAGAAAACTTCTGGCTACAAGCAATCAAACCACATCCAGATGAACGTTTTTCCGAGCAAACGCACTACATCCAGGTCGAAGGTAACGACAACTAAACAGCCCAAAAAAGCAGAGCCCAAGAATACCCCATTCTAGGCTTCAAGACCCCGAAAGCCAAAACTTGCCCGTTCTGACAAACCCGATTCCGTTAACTCAGGTGAACGACGGTGTGAACCGGCCGAGCTGCGTCCAAGTTGACTGCGCCAAGAAGTATGCGAGCAAGCCGGTGTATGATCCGGTGACGCAGCTTTGCATAGCCACCACCGCCACCGACTGCCTCCTGGTGAGAATACGCTCCGTGTACCACGATCGCACGGTCCGAAGGCTTCTGGTGGCAATTAACGGTTGATTGCTTCTCCGCTTTGATCATGTTGCAGTTTCAAGATATTGACCATATTTGTACGAAGGACTAGAGGGCCCGGCCAGCGTAAACGCTGAACGGTGGAGATGTTTCAGAACCCATCAATGTCTAGACACACCAACTAACATGAGCTCTGGATCTGGAAGTTGATAAAGTTGATTTGACACGTGTCCCCGCCGTCGCTTGCTGACCAGTGAGCTTCTCTCGCAGAACTGCAATACCCCTTCGGGCAGCAGCGGCGGGGGCGTTCTGGTGGCGGGGCCCAGCGCGGTGAGTGTCCTCAAGAAAATGACCATGTTGTTTTAGTTAAGCGGGAATCTTAGAGGTCAGCTAGGATGTCTCATCGTAGCAATCGCTTACCAGTCCTGACCAAGATGTTATCTTTCAAATTTTAGTCGATTTGACAACTTTAGACCGTGCGTAATATAAGAGCCGCTCCGCCATCTGCATTTGCTTCTGGTTAGTGACCCGTGATTATCAAACCCTGGGTTACCCGACCTCAAATGCAAGTTTTGGCCGTCCCTAATCGTCCGCACAACCAGAGCAATCCGGGCTCTCATTTGCCACCGCGGACCTCTTACCGCAAACAACACCAGCTGCTTTTGCGGTTGCTATGGTATAACAACGGTTGTAAACCCGGTTCTCGCTAACTATCCGCAGAACCAGACCGTTTCTGCCCCCAACTGTCACCACGGCACCCCCACAGCGGACAACTCCAGCTGCGTTTGCGATTTGGGTTACCAAACCGCGGCGGGTCAGGACTTCAGCAAGTACCAGTGGTGCACGGTGGTCGCCGTGGTCAACGCTAACCCGAGCGGGTCAGGCAGCAACGGCTCCAGTTATGTCGTAACCCAGGCGGCGAGCAACAGCACATCGACGGCGGTAGGTTTGATTTCACCAGATCTTAGAAAGAAGCAATTTCGAAGGTCAGGTGGCGACTAACACTGCGTATTCATCGCATCTCTGTCGCCGGAGAATCGCGTCCGGTTCAACCTCTTGGAACAGCAAGTACGTTAAGTACGATAAAAGACCTCGTAGGATTTGAGATGTTAAAGAAAGACGCCGTTGAGACAGCCCGCTCCCAAAGTCTACCATTTGACGAGTAACAAAAGATCGTGAGAGGCAAAGATGTCAAGACGTCGAAGCCGAGTCACTCTCCGTACGCTATGTGCAAAAGGAAGCATTCTCACCGTTCAATTGGCCCTCAAACTTTGGCCACGGGCAAATGAAGTAATCAAACCCTCCTTTCAATTTCGTTGCGACCCGGCGCCCTTCGCTTTTCCCATCATCTCAATTTCAATGAACGTGTGTGAAGATCCACAGTCGTTATTTCCACCTTAGGGCCCTTCGCTTTTAGCAATTTCTCAATTGTAGATACGATAGCTCGATTACCACGTGACATGTAGAATAATTGCACAGGCGATCCTGGGGGGCGCACTTGGCGGCAGCGCTTTCCTCTGCTGCACGTGCGGGTGCTGCTGGTACTGGCGCCGGCGGCGCGCGCGCGCGCGCGAGTCGGAGGACGAGGAGCGCGAGCGGCCGCGCAGGAAGAAGCGCGGAAAGAAGGACGGAAAGAAGGGCGAAAAGAAAGAGCGGAAGAGGAGAGGCAGCGAATCGGATGGCGAGGTGAAAAGGATATGATGCGAAAGTGGCGAAACTGACAGTTTACAATTTGGGCCGGTCAAAGTGGATTGAATTATCGTGCCTTGTTGAGTGCATAGTCTACAAAGCGGTAATCTTTTTACATCCGCGGATCTGGGGGTTGCTGAGAGTTCAAAGTAACCAACTCGCCAAGGATCGTCACTTCATTGACAAGAGTTTCCGGAGCTACTGAGATCAACGTACAACAGTTGCAAATCATGCATGCTCGTAAACGCTGATGCAGGAGTCGAGAATCTACAAAATACAAAGCATTAATCCATATGAGGAAACGTTCGGTCGTATCTGCTTGATTGAAACTTGAGGAGAGCGTGGTGTGGACCGCTACGTCGAACGAAGCCTGGTGTGAACCTAGTTTCTTTTCCTTCGAGTGAAAACGGGGCCATCCCATTCTGTGCCAGATCGAGACGGGTTCCTTAACCCCCACATACTTCGTAATTCTCCCCGACCTTTCATTCATCCTCGAACGCGGTCAAAGACGAAGTCATCAAACTGCTGCAGAGATCATATTTCTCGCTTCCGTTGCTCACAGGAGCCGCCCGCGCCTTCCCCCGGGCCATCATCGCCGAGCAGCGGCACGGCCATGCTGAGCCCCCCGGTCTCTCCACCCGGGCAGTGGAACGTCCCCCCCCAAATGATGTATCCTCCGTACGGTGACCCCCGTTTCTCCATGGGGGGGTTCCCGCGGCATTCTGTCATGGGCGGCCCTACCCCCCTGATGCCGATGATGGGCGGTACAGCTTACCCGGGGTATCCGCAGCAGCCGGTTGGTACCGTCATGGGACCGTCGGGGGAGGTTTACCTGGAGCAGAACCCGTACCTCGTGCAAGACTTTCGTATGGGCGCCCCGAGCGTGATCGGGGGGATGCGCGCAAGCGGCGCCAGCGTTTTCCCGGGAGATATGCGCGCAAGCGGCGCCAGCGTTTTCCCGGGAGATATGCGCACGAGCGGCGCTGGCGTTTTCCCAGGGGACATGCGCGCGAGCGTGATGGGGCTTCCCCCGGGGGGAATGCGCGCGAGCGGCGGGAGCGTTTTTCCGGGCGGGGGAGCGTATCCGATCCAAATGGGACTTAACATGTACGAACCGTATCGGGGATGAGCTGAAACATGACTTCCACGCTCAACGAGAGTTTTCAGTCTCCAATTGTAACACCAGAACAACCTGAATTGATTCGATCAGCGACAGGCGCAACAGGTGACGTATGTGAACCGTCTCAGCTATTTCTACTGCAGTAGGCCGAGAGTTCCTGAAATCTCCGATCCGGATGTAGAATCACTATTCGAGCGATTATGTTGTCGGCCTGTTTGCTTTCCCCGATAGGCGCGCTCGCCGACTTCAAATGGGGTTGAGAGACTGCCACAAGTCTCTAAGCAAGTAGACTCATGAAACGAGCACCGTTGATCTGAAGCCGCACGTCCCTTTTGGTAGAAGTGTTGCTTTGTCAATTGACCGAATGTCTGGACTTCTTTGACGATCGGCTGGGTGGCCCGCCATGCATGGATCGGAAGCGACTGTCGAAGCTCAATTGTCAATTTGGCCCGTTGTCGGTACCTTTTGCTAGCGAATTATTTTTGCCTATTATTTCCAACTCGTCAAGAAAAAACTGAGACCGTGTAAAGCGTTGATTTTTACCGACCTGAATTGTACGGGTTTGGGAAACCCCTTTTTGACAAAATTGTACGTAATCTGAACATTCGAAGGCACTTGTCCGCCTCGCTTATATATCTGTGCTTGCCAGTATAGGTATAACATATGGTACACACTTTATCATGGTCTACATGGCGACCAACGGCCGGCGCCTAACAGAACGTTTTCACACTTACAGATGTGCAGATGTAAAGCCGGTAGCAATTTAATTGGTAATCGAGAGATACGTTGCGCTTCTCCATGTTCTTCCAAAAGTTACAAATATGTTCGCAAACCCGTACAAGACAGCGATATCAATCCCATTGGAAGCACGTCATCACTCGTCTTGCGGAACGTGCGTCTGTCCGAGCATGGGATTACATTGTTCATGCAAATGCCGCAAATCGAACTGTCGACCTATGCACGAGCTTCGCTAACGCGTGCCCGGTTACCAACGAACAGAGGCACAACATAGCCATGGCGACTTGCCACAAATGATGGTTTCCGCCTTAAAGTTGGTTTGGAGCTGAATGAAGACACCGAAAATTTGATTGCAGATGCGAGCTTTCAGCGCCCGATGATGCGTTCGGGACGCCATCGTGTGCGACATGCAATTCATATATTCATGCCAACTGATGCATGCGTTTCAGTAGACGTTTGTTTGTCCACTGCATACCTTTGACCGCATACGCCCCTCAATGCTGTTGCACTTTCGGCCGATAACCTGCGCTCTACTCCGTCCACTAAACCGAACCTCGCGATTTTCGCACAATAAACTCCTCAAGGGGCAAAACAGTAGACTCGAGTCCGCGTCACCTCCCATCACATATCCGCTTCCTTAAAACCCCCCAGCCTGGCACTCAAACCCACTCTCATCTCCCCGACTCCATCGCCGATCCCCCTTGAGCGGCCGCCTGCTGCGCCTGCGCGGTCGCGACCTCCGTCTGCGCGGCCGTCAGCAGCTGCGCGGCCGCGTCGGCCGCCATGCCCGTCGCCGCCGCGCGCGCCATAAACGCCTGGTGCTCGGCGGGCCCCCCGGCCGCGGCTTGCAGCGCCGATTGCCGGGCGTCTGCCAGGGCCTGGGGGCTGAGAGCGGCGCCCAGGGGAGGCGTACCGGGGACAACTGGAGTTGGAACGGGCGTTGGAGCAACGACAACTTGCGGCTGCGTGGAAGGAAACGAAAGTAAAGTGTCAACGATGTTTTGAAGAAGCGGCCCGTAGTCTGCACAGTAGAGCGCCCAGATGAGACAATCCGGGGAGCAATCGGGGCTGAGACGGGCGTCGGGGCGATGACAACTTCTTCGATCAGCGGCCTTCGCTAACATGAAAGAACCAGTTAAAAGACCTTTCTAAACTTGCTGCGGCCCTTATTGCCCACCGCTCATCGAGCAACTAATTACTAAATCGAACTGTTTTGGCTTCATTTTCCAAATGTTTCAAAGAACGGGTGCTGAGATTGTTTTCAGTGCTGCGTTGACCTCGTAACTTGCCCCAGTCTATCCGCAGTCGGAATCCTAGCTCAGCATCGACGACATTGATCGTGTGGGATTGTTTTCTGTCAGGGTGAAGATTTCGCCTGTTGTTAAAACTTGATGAAGAAGTACAATTCTCCCCGAACTTGTGAAGAGCGACTGAAATACAAACCACCCAACCATTCAAAACGGGCTTTGCCCCGCGAACAACTAGGTTCGAGAATCTTCCTCACCTGCTGCGGCTTCCCTTCCCCACAACCGACTGCGCCGCTTGGGCTGCCAACAAGGACAACTAGAGCGAGACCTTTCTCACCTGCTGCGGCATCCCCGCGACCACCGACTGCGCCGCTTGCGCTGCCAGCGCCTGCTGCGCCGCCGTCTTCGCCATCTGCTCCTCGGACGTCTTCGCGGCCGCGTCGCGCGTCGCGGCCGCCTGCTCCGAAATGGCGCTCGCGGCCGCCTCCTTGGCCGCGGTCTGAGCGGCTTCCGAAGCCGCCTGGATCAGAAACGAAGCCCCAGTTACGTTTCAGTCAAACCCGCGCTGAATTGAAGAATTTTTAGGACTTAAATGAATCCATGTCAAAGACACTCTAGGCGGAGGTCGAAAAGGCGCCAAGAGGACTGTGAAGATACAGTGAACGACGAAAGGCGAAGCTAGTCTCGCGGTCTGAGCGGCTTCCGAGGCCGCCTGGATCAGAAACGGGCTCCGGTAAGCTAAGGGGTCGGGATCGCGGAGTTTCGTATCTAGGATAAAATCTAAGCGCGCCTCCTCTAGAGGTCGAGGAAAGCATTTTGATCGGGAAAAACCGAACAGAGAAGCGGAAGCAAGTCTCCTCCTTGGCCGCGGTCTGCGCGGCTTCCGAGGCCGCTTGATAAAAAAACGGGTCCCCAGCTAAATTAGAAGGCTTAAAAATAAAGACTTTCGAGACTCAAGCGCGCCTCTGGTGGAGGTCGATAGTTGCGTCATCAACACATCCAAAGACCAGAAGACCAAAAAGGATTACGGTAAGCAAGACGCAGACGGTTAATCCGAAATACCTCAAGGCGCTCCGGTCAAAAACGATTTTCGAACCGAGACAAGGAAGAGACTGACTGTTTCTCAGAAATATAAAGACCTGTGAGCACATTTTTCTGCCAAGCAATTAAAAGCGACGCCAGTATCTAAAGCCGCCTTTGACGCCTCGTCTGACAACAAACATTTTCGGGTCGAGAGTTGGGTCCAGGATAAAAACTTCCTGTTCTGAAGTGACTACTGCGAGAGCAAGCTTTTGGAAGATCTTGCGTCATTTGAAGAGCGTGTCGAGAGGACGGAAATCCAACGCGCCCTCCCATCAGTCGCGATCGAGTTGCTTCTGCTGCCGCTGGAGCAAAATGGTGCTCACAAATGTCGGGCTAAAACAACGTACAAAAGCTTCATTATTTGTAACTTCGCTCGACTGAAAACCTGTTTTGAGAAACGGGTCTGAAGGAACGAAGACACGAAGGTAATCTTTGGCCACGAATTGAGCTGCCCATCCTCGAGGCCGTTTGAAATCCAAGAGGCACACGCTTCGCTTCGCATGAAATAAAGGAGCATAAGCAGAAAATTAGAAATGCTCCATGACGTGAGCGAAGCCCATTGACATAGCCAGTGGCCGAAGCCGTTTCTGGAACCGCAGTCAGAGGTCCAGAGCAGGGGTGCCAACACTTTATGTCTGGCACGAAGTGGATATTAAGACGTTCAATCAAGCCCAGCGTCAAGAGACCAGAGCAAAGCTTTGTGGCCATGTTTTGGACCAGTCTTTATGAGGTGCCTCATTCTGAAACCTTTCCCTGAGTTGCAACCATGGAGAGAAAAGACTTTGAACAGAAGGGGAAAGCCGAAATCGAAAAGTCACAGGGGGGGGGCTCTCCGATTCAATCGGTGCGGATCAACTTCATGTGGAGTATGCTCTTTCCCAAGGACCCAAAAACTCCCACCACAGATAACCAAATTCTAATGAACCGAGTGTCTCGATCTGTGCATAAAAGCATCCAACTTGTGCACAAATCCTGAAAATGCATTTTCAAGAAACAACGGTGGATGTTTCCCGATTTTAGGAGAGATTTCTATAACAACATAGCGCAGGTTACAATTACGGAATACTTGACACTCCTCACAGAATGACACCTCCAATCTAACCCCAAAACGAGCTCATAGTCAAAACCCCACATTGTATGACGGTATTCCTCAATACGACCTCCTCAGCTTGCAACATCACCGCAGCAGGTGATGCCGTAGAAGGTAAGAGCTTTGGTGCATTATAAATATTCGATTGCGAACTCCTCTCACTTGAGAATCCGGCGACAAGTTTCATTGTCTCCAACTATCTTGGACCAACAGCACACCAACGCTTTCAAATCTTTCAGCTACAAGTAACTTTATCTCTCAAAGGATCGCACCTGCTTTTTGGTGTTCTCCTCCTTTGGCAACTCTTACAAAAATTGCAATAAAAGGATCAACCATATTGAAGACAAACTGACACCATGAAAATGCGCGCTTCGCACCAACCACCAACCAGTCCTGCAATTCGTTCTTATCTCAACGTGCATGCAAATGTGAGTACTGTTCAGGCCCTTGGAAAGCCCATATCGAACCAGAAAGCAAAAGGGAGACAACAAACCCAATTTTGTCAGCATAAATGAAGCGTTCTTATAGACATTAAGTGGCTCTCTTGCTCAGCTCACACCCAAACCCGAAACCCAGACCCAGACCCAGACCCAGACCTGGAATTAGATCCAAAGTTGCTCACCTGCACCGCCGCCTGTTGCTTGACCTGCGTCTCCTGCGCTGCCTTCATCCCCAGCTCCTGCGCCGCTTGCTGCTTCTGCGCCGCTAGCATAGCCATTTCCTGAGCCTGCTTTTGCGCCTGAACCGCTGCCATGGACGCCTTCTGCGCCTGTTCTTGCAGAGACAGGGGCCTGGGTTCTCCCTGCTGCTCACCCCCCCCCTGCTGGCCCTGCTGCTGACCCCCCCCTTCTTGGCCCTGCTGCTGACCCCCCCCCTGCTGCTGCTGCTGTTCACCCCCCTGTTCCGGGGGAGCCTGCTTCTTGACGGCCGGTCCTTGCCCCTGGGATGCCATTGCTAGAAAAGGTGCTGAATGAATGTGGACTTGGAGTCTTGCTGTCAGGCAGCTGCCAAAGTGCATGCACGAGTGACTCTAGCTGAATATGAATCTCAGTCTCTAAACGTATCAAGCTGTGCAATTTCGATGTGCTTCAGCTTTCAAACGGTTCAAAAGCTGCCCAACAAGTTTCTGCCTCTGGAAGCTCGACCTTCTTCCACTTTGCGAAAACGAGTCAGCCTTCTTTCTGCCAGTCCCTTTTCCAACGATTTGTCGGGAAAACAAGCGGTCTTCCTTCGACCCGTCCGTTTCACTGGAAAGCGGGTGAACCAGGTTCCGTGTGCAATGCTCTAATACGGGGTTTGACGCGCCAGGAAGACACAGCGCTCTCGTGTGCGTACGAAGGCAAGGAATCCTCTCGGAGAAGTACGAACTCATCAGCGCCTCAGGTTCGACGATTGGAAAGCGCAATCTGAACTCAAGGCCTCTGGCAGCAAGCTGCGAAAGCTAGATTGCACGGCAAGCAGCTGAGCAAATAACAGCCAGCAGCTCGAAGCCGCAGTGGACAGTTCGATACCCGCTGGTTATGATCTTCGATAATCTTAGCTGCAGATCCGCCACATTCGACTCGAGTGGTCAAATGAAGCAGCGAAATTGGCAAGCTAGGTAGCCTGAACGGCTCAGCTGCGCGCTCAGTGTGCATGCAAGCTGCAGTGTCGGCGCGACGTACGCTGGGCAACGAGGGACCACGTTGCATGATTGACACGAGTGAAACCGGTGCATTATACAGGCGCGGCGCGCCGGCCGGTCGGAGCCCGGTCGGAGCTGCCGGTTTGTCACGGTCGACTTCGATACGGTCTGACTGGTCACCGGGCGTGCCGTCGTGAGGAACGGCACTCCGACCGACGACAAGTCTGGGAAGCCGGCCCTACCGTAGCTCGCGGACAGGCAGATTGCAAGCTCCAAAGCTGAAAAGCTACTAGGTAGCTAGAGCTGATTAAGCTTTGTTTCCGGATTGCATGGATTGACTGATCATTCGCTGGCCGCGGTGGCACGATGCCGATGCAAGATCTTAATTTGCATACCGTCTCGTCGTACAGTTGGTCAGCTACTCCATGATACATCTGGCTTGCAGATCTCGAAGTGCCAGCTAGGTGTTCTTTCTTTTTTCTTAATTACTCTAAGACGATAAACGTGCACATATGCATAGATTCCCTATTAGTATGATTTGTATTTACTGGAGGCCTGCATGGAGATCATATATGTTTGCAAATGCTGGAGCGGCAGACAATATGACTGGAGCCGTGCGGGCGCCGCGGGCCACTGCCATACTATCCAAACATGCCATCATGAATACTGATATGTTACCGCCGCGATAATAAGGCCACAACCTGATGTTATCGACACAAGTGATCGATTGGCTATCCGTCTAGTCCGATAGACAAGCGAACCGCTCGCGAACGAGAAATGGATTCCCAAACAAATGAGCCTTGCGATGGCGAGAAACTGACCAACATTCGAAGTCAATAAACCAATTGGCAAAGCATGCGTGCAAACAGTACCTGATATGCCTCGGAAAGCGAGTGAAAATGGGTGCAATCAATGCAAGTTGCTGCGCGACGACCCAGAGCTGAACTTACAGGTAGTGCTTACAAAATTTTAGAAATTGGAGGCAAGCTCGCCCGGCATCATATAATGCGCCGGGGTTCTATCTATGTCGCATAAAAGGCCGTTGTCCGGTTTTCCTTGGTGTTAGCCAAACTCAGAGATGCCCTTTGGAAAGAGCTGCCGCCACTTTGACTAGGAGTGTAGGTTTCCTCTCGCCCGCTTCAAACGTGCTTTGGCTCACATGTGCGCTTTGCTCAAATAGCCGGTCCCGTTCATGTCTCAACTGCTCTCGCAGCTCCGCATGGCTCGTCAGCAGCCAGAGCTGGCACTCGAGGTCCTTATCTAGCGACCGGAAACCAAAGTTCGGGCTCCCAATGGTCGTCAGGCATGGAGCCGACGAGGAGCCTCCCTTAGGCGAGACATTCCCGTTCTGTGAGGCGCTTCCGTTTTGCGACACACTTCCGTGCTGCAAAACGCTTCCGTTCTGCGACATGTGTCCGGTCCGCGACACGCTTCCGTTCTGCAAAGCGCGTCCGTTTTCTGAGGCACGCCCGTCCTCTGCAGCCAGTGAAAGCCACAGCCCCTTTGCGTGGAACGTCCACCCCTCCCGGCTGTATTCAAAGATCTCCAGCCCCGCCTGGTGGTCTCCCCCCGCCCTCTCATACAGCCGCTGCTCCATGAGAGAGTACGCCCCGGGGATCAGCCCCGAGGGCCCTCTACTGCCGTAAAAGCCGTTGGCTGTTGGGGCAGCTGTGACTATTTTCACGCGGAGCGACTCGTGCAGCGCCTCTAACAGGGCCTCCTCGTACGGCGCCGCAAGATTGAAGTACGCGCTGGCCAGATGCACTAACGAATGACGTGGAAGGCGCCGGAAGAAGCTCAGAGTCGCGCGTTCGTCTTGCCGGACGCCGAGCGGCCCCATCTGGACGGTCGGCAGAACCCACGTATCCGCAGCCGTCCGATCGAGCAGAAGACCTCCTGAAGCCGTCCAATCTGACTCCAGGCGTTCTCGTAAGGACTTCTTCGATGGGGAAACGCTATGCTCGCCTGGAGGGGTGAGAGGCTCCTTGCTGACATCGGCGGCCGTTTTGACGAAGTCCCGAACGGCGTTCCCCGCGGTTTGTTTGAAGCGTTCAGGGTCCGTGATAGGGTCTACGCCGCAAGGGGGGGGGCCGAGCGTGCCGTCGGGTTCTAGCGGGTAGGAGAAGTGGGAGACGGTGTCAACGAGACCGGTGAGGTAGGACGCGAGGGCGGGGCAGTCCTTTAAAAGCATGTAGCGGTCCTGAAAAGAACACCAGGGAAGTACGTCAGAACTGCAATTGCATATAGCGGCCCTGAAAGGAAGAACGTTGGTAATACGTGAGAACTGATAGCATGTAGCACTGCAGGAGGGGTAACATGTGAGGGTTGACCGAGAATGAGCCAAAGATGTGATATGGGGGCGTTCTTCACTGAGAGCTTTACTTTGCAAGGTCCCAGTGGAAGTGATTGACTATTCTTCTTTTTCTTTCTCTAGGACGACAGAAATGACAAGATTTGGCAAAAGGATCGCTGTTGTTTATTACCAAGGTGCTTGGTTCCTTTTCGACGACCCTTCAGCAAAGCGAACTAACTCTGGTTGCCAGAAATGAACAACCTGATTCGCGTACCCTTGTGAGCGAGTAGGAGGGACGAAGTCGAAATGACCCCCAACTCTACGGTTCACGATCTAGAAGCAGGAGATTAAGCGAGAGACATCATCGGCATGTTTCAAATGGATCGAGCCGCAAGCTACCAGTACACACGGTATTTCAAAAGAAAGAGCGGAAGTAAAAAAAGGCGAATCTGTGGAAGGGAGATTCAGGAGAGTCTGCCCTTTGAAAGCATTATGTTTCGACTCTGAGCGGGAGGCACAACATTCTGCATTTCGAAGGTTGTGTTGACGAAACGAAGATGTCGGATTTGCAAAAAACATGCCCGAACTAGTTCACAAAATAAGGTCGAAACATTTCTGGTGATGCTGCAAGCATCCGCGGCATTCAGCTTCTGAAAATCTGCTGTTGAGCTTCTGAAAATGTTCTTGTCTCCGACCTTTTGCTTCTTTCAACAGATGTAGAACACTGTTCCAATAACATCGTCGGGAAATGATTGTTGAGATACAAGAATGTCGTGCCCCGACCCTCACCTGTCGGTCAGTGAAGTAAGATGTGCTCAGGTTTGCCCCGCTCATCAGCGTGGTGTCGTCAAACACGTACGCCTTCAGGTGCATGATCCCAACAGTCTCATTGTACCGTGCCGGCAAGAACCGCTTCCAAAAGCCGCTCAACTCGGGTGTGTGATACAGGCTGGCTTTCACCCAGCTCCCTGCTTTGCTCAGGACAGACTTGCAAATGAGGTCAGCAGTGGATGTCGGGGTCCCATCTTTGCCCCCGGTCGGCCTCGTGCCTCGAAGCGCATCAAACAGCAACGTGACCTGGAGTTCGGGGTTTGCGGCGGCTGCTTCCCCAACCGCATCCGCCAGTCGCTGCTCCATCTCATCCGTGCCTAGATACAGAGAAGCCAGCACGATCCTGTAGCGCGCCTTTGTGATCCCTTCTAGTAGTGCTTCGAAGTATTCGCTGGGGGATGAGAGTACTTTGATATTATCCCCATTGATGGGGAAGGCGGGGGCTTGGCTTGCGAGGTCACCCAGCAGTGCGTGCATGGCCGGGTCTACTTCTGGTCTGGATGACGAGGTGAATGGTCTGACAGTGTGATTGTTGACTGCTCTTGCACTTGGAGCGAGGACTCGGAGTTTGCCACCGTTCAGACCACTCGCTTTCCTGGCCCCTTCCTGTGCACCACCGCAAAGTGTTTGCTTGTTTTGCAAGCGCTGATCAGATATGTTCCAAGAAGGACTCTGTCTTGACAACAATTGCAATGAGGAGCTTCTAATTGGAGAAACAAGGAGCTGCTTTCTGGAGCATGTCCTTGTTGATGGCTTCAAGGGGTGTCCTCCAGTGCAGAATGAGTCCGCCCTGGTGCCCCTCGCCACAGTCCAGGAGAGCAAGCGCTGTAAGCTTGGTGACTTCACAAGACTTGACAGTGCCATTTGCTCTCAAAATCAAGAGCCATAGACCGTGCTACTCAGAATGCACCCTGAAGCGCCCCGGTGGAGGACCAGGTCCCTCGTTGCACCACCCTCTGGCCTTTGAAGAAATTCGTGCGAGCCTTTCTTAGCCAGCCTCAGAATGACTACCTATCTACCTATCTTAAAGTATCTATGCCTATGGCGGAAGCTGCCTGCAATTTGCAAAGCGCAACGGGCCACAACTTAGCCACCTGGCCAGAGCAGACTTTGTCAGAAAGCTCGAGTACAAATCATGTCAAATGGCACTGTTGACATCAGTCCAGCACTGGCAGCTCCCATACTCTTATACCGATTTCCTTGCTCTTATTAGCTCATATTCAACAGCTGATATAGCTGTAAAGGGCCGCATTCTGAATGCTTTTTGAAATTCTCAGCACCCGATTCAACTAGATCTCCAGCCATACGTCTTTTAGAACCAGCCTAATAAGCCTATCTCAGGCCAGAGTCCATCTATGTTTTCCCATCTATGCATTCCCGCGGGGATATATAAGCCTTTTGTTATATGCAAATCTCTCACAAGCGCACCTGTGCACCACCAGCTGCCACCATCTTGAGCAATCGTTGCAGGCTGCTGTGAAAGTGTTGGCTTGCAATTATGGTGCAATGCCGGCCAATTGTGCTCCCAGGTTGGATGCCGCTTCGTCTTTTCAACTGAATAATCTTTGCAAGTGAATCTGGCGTGGTGGTCAATGACCGCGACGAATGAAATGCACACATTCTCTGAGTCTGAGCTCAGGAGCTTTGCTTGACGAAAGCGTCCTATTGTGAATCTCACTCATAGCAAGCAGGGGTGCCCCTTGGACCAGACCACTTCCATCACAATGATCACAGGAGCTGAAAGCTTGGTTCTGGATCAAGGCTGGCTTGCTCAGAAGGCTAGCAGCATCAACGTAAGTGGGGAGGCGCTGACAGCAGATACAGGGAGAACAATTGGGGCATGGGTTCCAGCCATTGTTCCTGGAACGTAAGTTCACAATCCTCCAGAAGCCTGCCATGTGTAATGCCACCATGTCCTTGCTATCCTGAAAGAGGGGATGATATTCTGGGTTGTCCCTGGGCAAGAGGCAAGTCAGAATGTTAGGGCCTCTACTCAAGACTGCATAGTAATTGCTGCAGCCTCGGAACGAACTTCAGACTACCAATTATATGGAATTCAGCTTCAAGGTCAGCATTGAAGGCTGGGATCCTGGGGAAAACAGCTTTACATCGTGTCTTATGCCCTTGACCAGGCGACAGTGGTCATCACAAAACAACGGGACACAGACGCCAGGCTTGCGTCCGAACTGCTTTCCGCAGAACACACAAGCAGATTGCGCACCACCTTTCATCAAGAGAATTTGTTCCAAACCCAATCAGAGTTATGATATAGGCTGCCTTATTTAGTTACCCCTACAAAGCGGCAATATTGTTGAAGTCCCTTGAAGTACAATGAGGACATTGGCTCAAAACCGCTCTTACAGTTTCTCACTTCTATTTCGACTTCTTTCGAATTTCCAGGGTGTTGACCACTCTTGTACACAACGGCATATTCCCTGAGCCACTTTATGGCCTGAACAACCTGGAAGTTCCCGACATCTTCCATGCTGGAAGGGAGTTCTACACGTACTGGTTCCGGACAGTCTTCCAATGGCCTTACAACGCCAGACTACTGAAGGTAAGATGAGCTTATGGCCTTCTTATGGCCTTTTTTTCTGTCCTCTACTGTTGCCAGATGTTGGATTTATGTGTTTTGAGGCACAGTGGTTTGCAAATCCCGATCTAGTTCATGCATAGAGTCATCCTTCCTTTTCAGAAGTATAAAGAGGGCCAACTCAGCGCTGGAAGATCCTCTTGCTACTTGATATTCAAAGAACCGTGTTTGGTCAATAATGCTGGGAACCAAGAGATGGGGCTGGTACAGCGGATGTGGGGTTCAATGTCCATCCTCAGCTCAGCTTGTATTGGAGACTCGAAGTATATAGAACAAGTTCAACTCTCCTTAAGGCCTGGTATGATCGAGCTGGCAGCTGACTCGATCATGGTGGCATCCAAATGGACTGTATTTGATGTCGTCACGGGCAATCCAGTTTTTCTGGTTGCGAGGTCTTCGCTCAGTACAATCTCGCCAGTCTTACTATTCAAACCTCTTTTGCTTAATAAATCAGCCTCCTCACGTATCTCGTTTCTTTCGACAGGCAGACTCCAGGTTCTGGCTCCACTTCCGAGGGATCAACTACTCTGCGGAAGTCTTCCTGAATGGAAAACAAGTCCCCTTGGAGCAGCCGAGGGGAATGTTTCTGCGGAGGGCTCTAGATGTGACAGCGCTCGCAGAGAAGCGGAAGGAAAATCGGCTCGTGGTTTTGGTACATCCGCCGGACCACCCAGGGTGTGTAGATGTACCCGGACAAGGGGCAGATCATCAGGTGAGCTTACCCATACTTTGGACCGATGATTCTCGTACAGTCTCATCATTCGATCTTGTGCGGCTAGAAAGTGGAAGAAGTTGCGGTGCGTGTTGTGTATGCAAAGTGCCTTCTTGTCCGGATAAAGGAAGGGTTTGATCTAAAGCAAGAGTCAGGGGGTTCCAGGAGCTGGAAGCTTCGATCACCTTTTATTTCGTCTAGAATTCTTCCATTCGTGACTCCTCTGTGGTGCACCATGGCTACCATCACAAGTGAGCAGACTGCTTAACCGTTCAAAAAATCTGTTTTTCTTGTACTCTTTTCTACAATAGCTCATAGACGTTGACGCCAAAGCTTGGAGCTTTCCAGCGGGAAGTTTGTCAAGTTACGGTAGTCAACAAGGACATTGCTATTTCATTTTCGAGAGCTGTGCCTACATCAGAACCTGCGTCTCAGAATTCAGTACATCAATCGACCATCGCCAAGGACTCGGCCTAATTGAGCATACTGTGCAGATTGCCCACGACGTCGCTGCGCAATACGTGGAAGGTTGGGACTGGATATGCCCTGTCAGGTAATTTACATATTCATTTCAAACCTTCCGCAAGAGCATCAATCAACAGATTTTGGGGATCGTGCTCAAGCCTTGACAAGGAGGTTAGGAAGAGAGCCACTTTCAGCATCTTTGTGTTGGTCTGAAATTCTGGCGTGCTGTCGAATCAAACGTTGACGCGATTTTATCAGTCATGTGCTCTCTCGTACACCGGCATCCTTGCCGCTCCGGTAATCGAGAGTCTTCCGCTCCTCGACCTCGCAGGGACCGTAACACCGGTATCTGGGATCAGGTGGACGTCGAGATCACAGGGGTGAGCACAGTCCCAAACTCCTTCCTCCAAATTCCGCCCTCCGATTCCTTGTCAGTTGGCAGCTCGTTCAGCTGATTCAAATCATAACCTTTCGGAAAAGTGGCAACTAGACACAGTTGCAGCATCTCATCCCCGAGACTGAGAGAAAGGAAGTGAAAAGCTGTGTCCGAAGCGTTGTTAACCCGTCGCCGGTCGATCTTCCTCCGCTCACTTTGGCCTTCTGCGCAGCCCGTCGCGATCCGCAACCCGCACGTGGTTACCCGTTTCCACGACAAGGACTGCACACGCGCGGTGCTGTGCGTGTCTGCAGAGCTCGTGAACAACAGCGATCGTGATTGGAAGGGGACAGTGCACCTTTCGGTAAGAATCGCTTCCGAGACCAGTCCCCCTCCTGAAATGAAGGCAGTTCCCTTGGAATTTCTGTCACGAGCCGGCACGTTAGATAGACTGTCTGGACCTTCTCGAGAGTTGCCTGGCAAACGCAGCACCCCTGTGGCGTAATTTGATGAAGCGACGACTTTCCGAACCCTGATAATTGTTCGGTTAGCCTCAAAGTAAGGACATAGTTCGTTGTGTCGAGATTGGAAATTTGAGTCTCGCAACACGTGTTAGCCAAAGGTCTGGCATAGCTTTAAGGCTGCCAGCTGAAACGAGCTTTTTTCGAGCCTCTTTGTCAAAGCTCGTACCAAGACGGTCGAAAGACTTGGGGGGGATGCGGACACAGTCGATGCAAGTCAGGGGCACTTTGCCAGCTCGACTACCGTCAATGTTGAAAGCTGCTGGTTGGTGGTTTGAAAGGAACTGACCTACCAAATGTTCAGAATGCTAGACCTCGTTGCACAAGCTAAGGCAGCTGGTCTGACATGGAATTTGGCGTGCTTGGCAGGTCACTCGCAAAGAGGGCGGCTTCTGCTCAGTTGAGCGTCTTCACACCGCCTCCGTCCAAGTGGAAGCCAGCAGTGCGAACGAGCACCTCCTTGCACAGGTGAGCCCAGAAATAGTCTAATCAAAAAGATGACCAACCGTTTCTCTTCTTCAGTCCGCTCGTCCGTAAAACTTGCCTCTACATTCTGAGGCGACCTCCTAGGACATTTTCAGTAGCAGCGCCGTCACTCTGCTTCCTTGAGACAATCCCCGATTATCATGCAGCGTCAACTTTGTGTCAGAAGGCGAAATAGATGCATACTGACTGCTCTCAATACTCGCAGCTGGACTTCGACCGCCCCGAGTTATGGTGGCCAAACGGCCTCGGCGCCCCGGCCCTATACGACCTCAGCCTCGATCTCGTACTGGACGGCTACGGCGACTCGGACTCATCCGAGGTCCGCTTCGGCTTCCGGCACGTGACCAGCTACATCGATCCGAAGCTCCAGGGCCGCCGATTTGAGGTCAACGGACGGCCCGTGTTCATCCGGGGGGGCAACTGGATCGTGTCCGATGCGATGCTGCGGCTGTCCAAAGAGCGCTACGAAGAGGAGGTGAGATGTCGCCCTCCGTTTTCTCGCTGTCGTTTTCCTTTTGCTGAGTGATGCGAGCAACACAGGTGGGCTATCCGATATTTGGCAATTTAAGAAGCGGAGAATGCAGAAGGCTGTAGAGGCGTTCGTCATACTGTGGTTGCAGAATCGAGTTGGCAGTCTCTGGTGGTAGCGAATCCGAGTTGACAATCTCTAGTGCTGTAGAAGGTTTCTTACTCAAGTCAGTCCGTGCATCCGGGTGGCGCCATGATCTTATCAAACTCCCGAGTTCCGTCTTTTGTTAGTACTAACGTTAACCCGGTTGAGGAACGCCTTCCCGTCTTGAAGCCCTGTTTCCAATGCTCTTGCCGAACAACACCGCCAACCCTAACCTTCAGCGTGCTTCGGAAGTCAAAATCGAGAACTCCATCAATCAAATGTCGACAATCTCGCAACCCTTCTTGCCAGATGCGCTTCCATGCGGAGATGGGCTTGAACATGGTGCGCGTCTGGGGGGGCGCTCTCGCCGAGCGACCCGAGTTCTACGCCGCATGCGACGAGCACGGCCTGCTGGTGTGGCAGGAGTTCTGGATCACGGGCGACTGCAACGGCCGGTAAGCGCCCACACTTTTGCGGGAATACAACTTTCGGGGCACAATACAAGTATGTTATCGGTACTGATTAGTTGCCCAACTGATCGCTCTCTAACTGTATCATGGCACTTGTCAGCACCATGATACAGTTCCCCGCTTTCAGAACAAGCACGCACGCTCGTACCCGGCCCTCGACTCGTTCCACTACGGCAGCTTTTTCCCCTTGCAGACACCTCCCTGGTCTTCAGGACACCGGTGCAATCGGGCATGCCAGTGTGCTACTTTCTTGTGACTATTACACCTTCGGTCAAACCTGGCCGCTTGACCCAAGTCCGATCTCAAATACTTTGCCCGATGCGCCGAACTCGGACCCTCGGATAATTAGGACGATACTCATCGAACGGCCCCAAATCTGCGCTTTCGGCCAAGTTCTGCGGTGGGCTCAAAGCAAAGTCAAGTCAGGCGGGCAGGTTTCACCGAACCTGCAATAGAAGCTACACTTATATGTGAAAGTTTTCGACTTTGAAGTCGCACGTTCCCCTCCCCTGCGCAGGGGCGTCCCTCCATCGGAGGCCAGCTGGCCCGACGACCACTCGCTGTTCCTGGAGTGCGCGCGCGACACGGTGAAGCTGCTGCGGAACAGCCCCAGCCTGGCGCTCTGGGTTGGCGGGAACGAGCAGATACCTCCTCCAGACATCAACGAGGTAAAAGACGTCCGTTTTGGTTCGGGGACGAAGGCAGGGGCTTGACTGACGGGGCGAGCTCACAAAGAAGATGTTGAAGATGCCCTGCTGTCGAGAGTTGGTGTCTTCGCATTCGGGCAACTTTGAACACGCAGCCTCGCTGGACGTTTGCCTGTCAACGCGCAAGGAAGAGGAGAGACAAGTAACAAGTTTCTGATGTATGGGATGTTGGTCGATCTACCCGTCTCGTTATCTTCAAGGTCGTGCAAGAAACGTTTCGGTGAGCCATATCGCGCGCTTGATGGCGCTCTCCCAACCATCGCAGCAAACAAAGACATCGGATTAGTATTCTATCGATACCCAACATCGACTCTGCACCTTGTGCGTCTCCGAAATCGGTTAAGAGAGATGAATGTTTGCAAGCGGATCAGGAACGGTACTGGGCCTCAAAACATCCGGGAGCACAGTTTAGAGCCATTTGGACAAGCGGCACCGCCTTAAATTCTTGACGCTCTTGTACACCTTTCTTGCTTGTCTTACGCACAGTAAGACATGCAGGTGGTTAAAACAAGGGTACCATCTTTGCAAATAAGCGGAGATAATGGCGGAAGACTTAGCGGTCCTCCTGAAGTTCGCGAGAACGTTCAACTAAAGTTCAATCCGTCTCTTTCTCGCAGGCCTTAGAGAAAGAGCTCCGCCTGGATGACGGCTCGGGCCCTGTCGGTTTACTGGACGGCACCCGGCAGTACTTCTGCGGCTCTTTGTGGGAGGGCTTCGCCAAGGGCGACGGGGCCTTCCGTGACGGGCCCTACACGATCCAAGTAAGAAAGTGGCAATCTGTGTTGGCAAACCCTGACATTCTGCCAAGGTACCGAGTCAAATGATTTTAGGCGCAAGATACGCCTGTTTGCAGATGAGCCACATACGTATGTGTCAAGTCAAGGACGAGCGCACACGCGTGCTAGCACGGAACTAGTATCATGGTCGAGTGTCTGAATTGGTCAAGAAATTGGTCACAATGCTAGGTCTAGATCGCTGTGGAACCTACCCTAGATTCCAGATGTTCCTGCAAAGCCTTCGCTGATTTTGCACAGTCGGCTTAACGACGTGACGTAACGCTTTCGAACATGCTGCCAGGATAAAGTTTCTTGCTTCGAACCCCACCTTTCGAACCTCAGAGAATCGACAACGCTCAACAAAACTGCACCGGACCCATTCGAGACCTGTCCCACTTCACGAGTGGAGACTCTCCGCAGACTCAGCAGCGAACGAGTGCCTTGACAAGCTTTCCCGCTTAGTGATTGCGTCAGCCCCACCTTCGAGAGTGACGTCAGCGAGCGCTCTGAAATGCGTGCTCGCTCGGGGTCCTCTGCAGGAACCCAGCCGCTTCTTTGAGGACGACTTCTACCCGTACGCTTTCAACCCGGAGATCGGCAACGTGGGGGTCCCGGTCGCAGGTGAGGGCTGCAATAAACCCCCCCTTTTTGGTATGTGACGTCTGATAATGCTTGCTTCCATCCCTCAGCTTCGCGGTAAAAACAGAGTACCTAGGGCTTCAGATTTCAACGCAAGTTTGTCGGGTCGCCAAAGCTGTGTCTACATCCTGACGGTCCCCGTGAGGGGCCGGCTTTTCAGGTCACCTTTTTGACTTCAAGACGTCTCGCTCGCTCTGTGCCAGCGGACCGGTTGTTTGTAATCGCACCGTGGCGTCAGGCTGTGATGACGTCCCCGTGACGTCAGCGCTTGCTCCGCATTTGCAGAGACCATCCGTGCCACGATGGACGAGGCGCACTGGGCGCCCCCGACGTTCCACACCCTGGACGACGGATCGATCGTCGAGACTCCGAACGAGTGCTGGGACTATCATACGTAAGTCAAGCTACTTGTGTGGTGGTGTTTCGAGCTCTGATAAATTCGTAGAAGCATAATGATTCCCTTACTTTGATATACTTTCTTAAGGTTATTATGAGACGAAACATTTCAATCGTTCCTCGTGTCATCTTCTTGTCTCGCTCCCCTTCCCATCAGGGTCGCAGCTCGAGACGCCTGAATTTTGCCATGTCGGCAAGACTATGTATTTCTGCTTATGTTGCCTTTTTGTGAGAGATATGTACTGATTGCTGAGCCACTCTGATGCGCTGGTCTCACCATGCGCGGCCGCCGGGTTTTGTTCAGCTGGTCGGCCTGGGTATCAAACGGAGGCCAGATCCAAGCAGCCCACACCGGCTTCCATTATCCTTACTTTTCTTCCGTTCACGGTCTGCTATATAGTCCGCAGCCGCTTTGAACCAGAGGAACGATATCAGCCGTTGATAAAGGAGGCTGTGTTCAGAATCAACGGCGCTGCCCTTGCAGGTACATTCCCTACTCGCAGGCGGGCGTCGTGCGCAACCAGATTGCTCTGTACGGTATCCCCACCACGCTGGACGCTTTCTGTGATCAGGTGAGGCAGCATCATAATCTGTTGACACCTTCCTGATCCAGCTTGAACGTTGGGAAACGGCTGAAATTATGGTTGAAACATTCCTCCTCTTCAATTGTGTCATTAAGGGGACTCTACAAGAAGCGTTTCCGCTTCCATATCCGTTAAATGCTGCCTTTCGGCCACTATCCAGACATGGATTGGCAAATTCCTGATTCTAGCCTGGGACGACACTTTCCGGGTTCTGCACCCTTCACTTGTCACCAAAGTGCAGTTTTTTCCATCTGCTCTCCGACCACAAACAGAGCTCGACCGACGGGCTCCAACCATTCTTCGATATAGCACTTTCTTGTCCTTGGTTTTTGCCGTAGATTACAGGTTGGATCTTTCTCTTTTCTTTCTCGAGCCAGAATTTTTGAAAAGGGGACAGACGCTATCACAGCTCCCTTTTCTTCACGCTTCCTACAGGCCCAACTGGTCAATCCTGGCAAGAGTGGGCCCCAAATCGTGGCCGAAGCACTACCGGGCCTTGCTGATCACCAATTCTTTATTTCCGGCAGGCCCAGCTGGTCATGTCGTCCAAAAGAAGGCCCCTTCCCGAAAGTCGGAACGGCCGCGTTTGCCACCGCTGCAGATCTGCTTCGCCCCGAAAGCTCACCACCATCGTCGGGCCTTGTAAAATTACAGATCTCTCGTTTCTGTAGGCCCAGCTGATCGAAGTCGTTCAGTACAGAGCCCTCCTCAAACGTCGGAAGGGTCGCGTTTGCCATCGCTGCAACTCTGCTTCGCCCCAAACTTTCACTTTCAACGTGGGCCTTCTTCCCCTCAAAAGCCTCTCGTTTTCGCAGGCCCAGGTCAACTCCAATCAATACAGGGCCCTCTTGAGGTTTGGAACGGTTGCCCATGTCCAATACAGGGCCCTCTTCGGGCTCTAACAACGATTGCATTACGAACCTTAATTTTCATAGTGGCCTTGTAAATTACAAACCTTCTCTCTTTTTCCGCAGCCCCGGCTGGTCAACCTAGTCCAGTACAGGGCCCTCTTCGAGGCTTGGAACGTTTGCCTGTGAACGTCACTTTATAGTGGGCCTTGTAGATCTGAAGATCTCTCTTTTTTGCAGGCCCAGTTGGTCAACTTCGTCCATCACAGAGCCCTTTTCGAGATTTGGAACGGTTGCCCGTGAACGTTTCTTTCAGAGTGGGCCTTGTAATCCGGAAGATCTCTCTTTTTCGCAGGCCCAGTTGGTCAACTTCGTCCAGTACAGGGCCCTCCTCGAGGCGTGGAACGCGCGCATGTGGCGCCGCTACAGCGGGCTGCTCATCTGGAAGACGCAGAACCCGTGGCCGGGCCTACGTGGGCAGCTGTACGATTGCCAGCTGGACCAGACCGCCGGGTTCTTCGGCGTGAAGTCCGCGTGCGAGCCGGTGCACGTGCAACTGGACCTTCATTCGCGAGACGTTCAGGTACGGCGGCAAGGTTTTTGCTCACTCTCGTCAACAGTTTGTCCGGACCAAGGCGTTGGCAACTCTGGAAGGAAATCTATCACGTGGGCTGCTGACTTCGCTAAGGACTAAGGTAAAACATTAGCAAAGCCTAGTTTAGAGCTTTGTAGAGGCCTCACTCTGTTCTTGCCAACGAGCAATCAGCTTCGCCAAGAACACCTTGAAGTCGAGCAGAGATCGAGCACCCAGCGATTTGTGACCGCTTTCAAGGCGAGCTTTAGTCAATAGTATCGAGGTTACCGTTGCAAGCTTTGGCTCTTTCATTGTCGATTCATTTTGCAGGCAATTTCTCGTGGCCTTGAACCTCAGATAAACTCTCTATATTGACCACTCAGGCAATAAGCACCGATACCTGCCTGCGTATCATGGAAGTCGACGCGCGGGCTACAATCATCCATACAAGTGCATTGCTCCTAGGATTGATGACCTGAGTTAGGGTCAGCTCTTGGAGGAATACTGGTTCCGGAACGAACATTCGGACGGAGGCTTCGAAAATCACTCACCGTTGCTCGCTGACCGGTTGCAGGTCATCAACACAACGTTTTCGGACGTCGACGCAATTGTTTCGGCGACCATCTACAACATGGACGGGGCCATCATTCGCCGCCTTGAGCGCGGGCGCGCTCTTTTCCCGGCAGATTCCGCTTCCGTTTCGTTCCGGCTGCGAGAGGAAACGGAACTTGACGTTCCGCCCGTGTACTTCGTCCTTCTCGAGCTCAAGAGACCGGAAGGCGGAAAGGTTTTGTCGCGGAACTTCTATTGGCTGTCCAGAAACAACGGGGATTTTCGAGCGTTGCAAGGGGGTTGGCGGAGGCGGCACGTGGATGTCCACGTGCTGGTCAGTGGGCGCTTCGTGCCGCTCCAATCTGGCGGCAGTCAACGGTCGGAACGGAAAGTTACAAGGTTTGGAGGGAATGGACCGGGGCCCGAAGTGAGCGGAATGGATGCGGAAGGAAGCGGAACGGGCGTGGGCGGAAATTATGAGGTGTTGATAGAAATCAGCAACGGGGCGGATGTAAGGGGAGAGGTTTCGAGTCTGACGGACGGATGCGCTTCTGAACTGGAGGATCGACGAGCGGGGGTGAGGTTGGTTGGGGTGGAAAAGGGGCAGGCCGATGCAGGCCAGGAATCATGGAAGCACCAAAGTGCCGTCATGAGTGACGTCATGAGCAGTGGTCAATGCGATGAAAGGCCGGACGTCCGGTGCCGTGAGGGTAGGTTAGAAAAAGACGTGAGTGCGTCTGGTGTTGCGTTTTGGTTGCATATTGGCGTCTTGAAGTCGAGCGAAGGAGTTGGTGTCGGACCTTCGGATAGCAAGTACCTGGATCCACGCGTTTCACCTGTGCATTACTCAGACAACTATTTCTCTTTGGTTCCTGGAGAGAAGAGGTTGATCACGGTGGAGTTTACACGAAGGTTGGAGAAGGTGAACGAGCATCCGTCGATCTTGATTGAGGGTTGGAACGTACAACGGAGGGTCTTTGAGCTGAAAGCCCGTCGATGAAACTGACGATTGTCGCTGTGCTGACCCTTTTCACACACGCTTTCAGCGCACTTTAAGAAAATGTGTGTCGAGTCGAGCTAGAAGTTGCAAACTGCATGCCGCCAGCTCAGACTATTCTCCAATATGGCATCTGGTTGGAAGCTCAGAAGTTGCTTCGAGCCCATAAGCTCGGTAGGCCGGGGCTGCATACGATGCGGGATGCCAGCGGCGCCTGCGGCAAGGGCGGCTGGAAAGTGCGAATAAGTACGAAACTTGAAGCTAGACGGTTGGTGGAGGCAGCTTCACGTGTTGGGTATATAATCATCTGAGGCCATCTTTTGCAGAGCAGTGCGCATGCATGATGCTGCATGCAGCATTCCGTGCAGCGTGTATACACATGCATGTGCATCATGCAAGTTGTAACCAACGCTTCCCCATGTACACAGTATAACTGCAGCAAACATTGCAGTACCAACCTACCGTCACGGACCCTGCATGTGCGCGCGTGCGCGTACCGTCCTATACATACGTATACTTGGATATCTAATTCAAGCCTGTAGGTCATGGGATTGTAATACGTATAGCTTATATAAGTACATGCGCATGTATACCGTATGTTGCTAAGTTTCATAATTGGTGCCACGCAGGCTGGCCCACATGCTTCCGACCACGACGATATCCGTATGTGCAGCTCAGTGCGCAAGCTTTCTAGGTACCCCGGAATCGATTGAGCATATTCATGTTGCATAGCAATGAAAAAGAACCCAGCGGACATTTACAACCAGTACTTGGGAATGGCGACATAAGCAGTCTGATCAGCAGCCAATGCAACGAACCCAGATAAGCTCTCGCCTAATTGCAATGTTTCTTAATTGCATCACGATTGCTGGTAGCGATACATACGAAAGCGACAATCGTCCAACAGGCCCGGTTTAATGGTCGCCGATTCGAGTGGCGCATGCCAATCTCGGAACATACTTTCAGTCAGAAGCTGGCCAACAACGCTCCCCTAACGAATCCATTCTAGCTGCCCCTCGGTTGGAGTTTCCTTGCGGATGACTACGCGTTGATCCCCAACATTAGATTGGACAGATCTAGGGGCGCTGGTTCAGTGATTCAGAAGCATGATACAGTTATGCTCAACAACTCAATTTCAACTCGTCAACCGTATACCTCATCGAAACATCCCAATCTGGGAAGCTTCGAGTTGGACAAAAAGAGAAGTGCCTTTCTAAGATGGGCTTTAAGATTTCCTTTCCCATCTATATCCTTTTCACGACTTGACTTTGAACTCTACTTGACTTTCAGTAGCAAAACCTCGAACACAAGAGGCTCCTTGGCGTGCGAATAAAGGCTGCGTTGCGGACCAAACTGCAAGAATCAAAATCGAGTCAGACTTTACGAACTTTTGTCAACCGTTGGGGCCCTGTGGCTGGAGATTTACTATGAGCTTAGCATGTGAGAAAAACCAAGTCAAATGCAGAGCCAGTCTCTGTACGGCAGGACGAAGGCAGGTTTCCTTCAGTCCTGCAAACCTCCTTAGTGAAGCAAAACCTCTTCGAAAAGGAAACCTCTCGCTTTTCAAACGAGCACGACTTCAATGGTCAGGAAGGCTGTAGCCACATGGTGAAAACCCGTACCCTCGAGTCGAAACGCGAGAGAGAGCTTCTTGAAAGAATCAACGGACAGCTGCTACATAAGACTCAGATTACACAGGGTATCAGTTGACGCTGCCTTAAAGCGAGGATGAAAAATCGAGAAGCAGAACCAGAGTCCAACTACTGATCTCTCCCAGAAAATCGCCACCGCTTACCCCTGGTGGAATGGGTTCCAGTATTTGGTCGACATACCCAGCGGACGGCGGAATGAGCGCTCTCCGCTTACCTGAAACAACATGGGACAGGCTGGCGTGACTTACGTCCTGATTCCTGGGTGTAACGTCCACACTCCTCACGGCCTGTTCAATCGAATTCGACAGTTCACTGAGGTAGGGGATCAAGCTGTGAGATCACTTCCCCCAGAACAAGAATAGAACGCGACCTCCAGTTCCATCCACAGCTTTCTATCCATTCGGCTCATAAACAGTCTTTACGCTGCCCCACGCAATACGTTCAAAGTAAAAACTCTGGACGGGCGTTGATGCTATAAGTTGATACTTCTCCAACTATTCATGTTTTAGCGGTTCGTCTGATCTTACCTCCTGCCCGCATACCCGAAAGAACCTCTTCTAGGCCTTGGATCACCTGTAGCGGCAGACAGCGGCACCCTTTGTTTATAAGCGAGGGCGAGAGACAGTTTGTTTGGACAGATTCAAAGCCTTACCTGCTCCAAGTCGCGCCCTCTGCTTCTCTACGAAAGTTGCCAGAGTATGTTGAGGACTGTGGACGGAGCATCTTGGTTGGACTGGTGCAAGCTTGAAATCTCCAAAAAAAAAGAGGGGATGTGGGCTGGGATAGTGCCAATGACCGGTGAAATTCTGAGCCTATTTCACTCAAGCTATTTCTCCCAACCGGGTTTCCTCAACCGAGCATAATAGGTGCGGTGCGTCTGTTGCCTGATAAGGGACCATGATACGACTAGATTCGGCCAATCTTAGAAAACTCTCAGGGAGTCACAGGTACTCAAGGGCAGGTCTTTTATCCGTGGGTGAGATTTGGTTGATTCACAATCGAGTAGACACAAGCTGCGCATTGTCGCAGTATTGCGGTATTGCGTATGCCAGTCAGCGAACTCCCCCCAAGGCGCTGCGTGTGGCCAGATGATTGCATCCAGAAAGAAAGAAAGCACAGAGGAAAATAATAGAAAAGACAAGAAAAGCAAGAAAGAAAAAGAAAACGGATGGCGCGCGCTCACTCGGCCTTGCCCCAGCGGAAGGCTGGCCGGTGTGTTGTCCCCATCCACCGTGCTATACACGTAGTAACCGTTGGAGCGCCGGCACACGTAATGGAACGTCACCGTGTTGCCCGCCTGCGCAGCGGGGCCCGTGCCTTCTAGCAGTTCTGCGGGGGTTGTGGAGGGGGTTTAAAAAACGCGGGTGTTTGGGGGGGGGTGTTAAAAAGGTGGCGTTTAGCAGGTTCTTAAAAAAGGGGGGGGTTGGGGGGTTTTACAAAAGTGGGGTTTGAGAGGAGATTTTGAAAGGTGCGGGTTTAGAACGGGTCTTTAAAAAGTGGGGGTTACAGAGGGGCGCCCGGAGTTAGCATTGAGGACCCTGTGTATAATCGTACAACAGGAGCTACTCAACGTGTTTCTTCTTGAAGGTGCCAGGTGTCTTGTGATTGAGGCAAAGCGGTGGTCGAAGGGCACGGTTGACAAGCTAGAGAGGTAGCCTGTCTCAATCTGAGTCTAGCATGAAGTTGACCTGGCAAACGCGTGCACCGTTCAAAAAACATTTCTGGGGAGGATCTTTACTGCCTTATTGGGGCAAAAAACGCTGAGCCTCAAGACAAAGGCAGATCAAGTGGTCTCCCTCTATTTAGAGCCCCACGCTTAATGGGCTCCCAAAGACAGCGGTATTATGAGATTGGACTATGAAAGATCTGTAGAAAGGCAAATTGGCTTTGTGCAGACTTTCACGCGTTGGTATGTAGGTGATCCACGATGGCTCATTGACCATCAAAATCAGCAGCGAGAGCAAGCGTCTCTCTGGAAGATGTTGGTGGAGAAGCATGTATGAATCGGCTTACCTTGAACTTTGGTGCCGCTTGGGGTCTTGAAGAAGCTGCAGGCCAAAAGGAAGAGGATTCTGAGTTGGGAGGGGGAAGGAGATAAGTATTGATCGGACATGGACGTCCTCTTGGGCTGAATTACGGAAACATGTAGACTGCATTGCTGTAGCCCCACTTAAACAGCTAGCAGGTTGACCTGGGCCTGCCTTCCGCCCTGCTAGACCCAGGGAATGGGCGCCACACTAGTAAGCGGTCGGAACTGAGCCACTCACACTTGGGGCTCAGCTTCTCGCCTGTCGTCCGGTCCAGGGAACGCAAGCGCCTCTTGAGTAGCGCCACTCCAGCTCAGAGCAGCCAACGAAGCGCCCAGCAACCCAACGGTCTGCCGCCGAGAGCACACCGCGCCCAATGGTCCTTCAACGTCAGCATTGCTGTGACTCTGAGCTTCATTGACACTGGCGCCACAACAGATCCTCCGTGAACGAGCTGGCACAAGCCCTTGTTGTCCACGATAACGCTCACAGCAATGATCTGCGCAGGCTACTCTATGTTGGTCGGCTCTAGAGCGCAGAGACGAGCCCGCATTCTTCACATTGCCTTTGGCATTGTTGCTCGGGAAACCCGTCAAGCTTGGGGCCGCCCCAGCCCAGCTCTTGCTGTGTGCAGAAGAGGAACCAGGACCAAACTGAGGCACGCTGCACTGGTGGCAACCAAGCAGCTGACGGGCAGCCGCCATAACGCGGAAAGCTAGAGAGGGCGCCACGAAACCCCTGCAGATCAGACTGAGCACTGTACCGGTATCCTGGTGTATGTGCATTGTGCGCTGTGGGCAAGGTAGGTTATTTTAACCAGGTTTTGACCGGCCTAGCTTGCAAACCGCGCGCTGCACGGCTGCATATTACAACCGCGCGCGCGGGGAAGGTGCGACTTGCAGGTTTGGGAAAAGACGAGACAGCGGCCGCGCTGCTAGCACTGTAGCAGCTAGGGCGCCTCCGACAGGCCCGGCCCGCCCGCTGCAGGCAATTTACCGTAGCTGCATGCCGCCTCCGCGCTGCATATGCGGCCCGGCCTGTCGCAGCCATCATATCAAACACTGAGAATGCCAAAGATGTTCGAGTTGGAGAAGCTGTTCTGCATCATGATCAAGTCGACCGATATTTACCCTGAATTGCGCGTCTATAGTATGAAACCTGCAGTTTTGGACGGGCCATGAGGTTTTGCGCTACGTCAGTGAGCGTCGGTGTGCATTCGGAGGAAGAGTTTGATGAACCTTCTTCAACTCCACTCAGATTACTACGATCGAGGTCTTTTCAGTTCTCTATTCATTCTTGAAACGAATGAACATATATGTGATTCAAATGAAGCAGAGTTGACCGTTGTTCAGAAAGCTGTTCATATCACTGGATCGATGCATGCCAGTGATTCGTACCATAGGGTAGAGGAATAATCAACTTCAGATCGCATACCATGCAGTGTACTGTAAAGAAACGCAACAATTGCTGGTTTTCTTTGAGAGTTCAGCAGCATCGTTGATTGTTTCAAATGAACAACAGATCCTGAAAATTTTCGATCTGATTGCAGAAAGGAGACGTCTGTCTCCACAGTTGTCCACAACCAAGAACCCTCGTCGACTCTGCGACGAGTCACTACCCAGCTAGATCTAAGCGAGAAAGAATTCTCTACGTGCTCGTTGCTCAATGATCTTCAATGTCTTCCCTCCGAGCTCAACTGATCCACTCTATTGCCTCCCAGTGACTGATTGAATAAAAGTACATGGTGCGAGCCTGCGTGCCTCCTATCTTGATCACTACTGTAACCCTCTGGTTACTGACCGTGTAACCCTCTGGTTACAGCTCGTAAACCCTCTGGTAACTGATCGTTGGCACTACAACCCACTGTCAAACCGCCGCTGCTGCAGAGGTTTGAAGCAACACTAATGCACAACTCTCGGAAGAAGCCTTTCGGCTATTCAATCGAACAGCCCAACTCGCTCCTTGTTCCGAAGTCCAGCCGACAGGCCGGAATGGGAACGCACACGACTCTTTAAACTACAAGGGACGCTGCTAGTTTATCTATGCGAGGCCTGGTCTTCGTTTTGGGGGGTGGAGAGTACAAAATATGCGTGCAGCGCTGGGGCCCCTCCACTGCTGTAGAAGGCGCCCTTTACCCCCCGGGTCGGACACTCAATGTCACAGGAATTCCCCTTTTTGGGCACAGCAAACAACTCGTTTTCTCCCCCCTGGCTCGTTGAGGGCACGTGTAACCCCCCCGCAATCACGTCTCTTTCCGTTCCCCCCTTAGCACGCGGACGGCAAGTTATCAAACACATTGTACACGTTGCCCGTGCCCCACAGGCTGTAATCGGGGAGAGGGTAGCTGTCAGTCGTGAACGATTTCCCGTCCTTCATGGTAATTTCCAACGCAACCCCCCCCTGGCCCCCCATTCCGGACGTGGGCGCCCACCAAGCCCCCCACCCCGCGACTTTCACGCCTGAGGTGAACCCCCCGTTGCGGGTTTTGAAGTTAACGCCGGCAATCTCGCCGACCCCCCCGACGCGAGAGATGACGACCGCCTTGGCCCACTGGTTGTAGGCCTGGGTGCGGACGACCATGGCGTGGTCGGGGTAGTCTGCGTAAAAGGGGGGTAGGTTTTAGTTTGACGGAAGTTGCACAACGACTTGATCGAATTTGGCCGAGGTTTCAACAAAATAAACTTTGCGACACGTCACCGTATCTTTATCATACAGGTTGATACGAACTTGCCCAGCCTTGAAACTTGAGATGAATGAGAACATCGGAAGACAACAACAGACTGGAACACGAGTTCAAAACTTGCTGAGCTCACGCATTCTCAGAGACCATGTGATGTGAGGACCTCCGTATTCGACCTTCTCGACTCTGAAGCTTTTGGTAAAACAAACTGAACGGACTGTTTTGTTCACTAGGATAAACGAATCTTCTTACGGATTTTAAGAATCACAGTCAGACCAGAATCACTTCGCTGCAAGCCTTTACCTTGGCAAAGCCTACTCTCTGAAAGCCTGCAGAATTTATGCACCTAACATTGGCCATAGGTACTTTCTGATAAGAATCAACAGCAGGCTTCTCACCAGGGGCGCCCATGCAAGAACAGTCCACCCTCGTCCACGTTCCGGTGAAGATCCCTCCGTGACTCCCGTCGCCCGCCTGTCCGTTGGTGAAATAGTTGAACGAAGGCAGGCACAGGTCAATGTGCCACCCGTCGCCGCCGATGTCATCCTTGTGGTCAGTGACGTCAGTGATGACGAAGCCGCGCGACTTGCCGTTGTAGGTCAGGACGCCGCAAGCGCCGCACCCGCCGAGGTAGCCAAAGTTGCCAGAGGCCGCGTGGTAAGGATCTGCGGAGAGGCAGGCAGCAAGTCAGGATTGTGACAAGGACAACTCCAAAAACCCGAAGCAATGTTCAGGTTGATATACAACCACCAAATTCTGGTCTGGGACCTGAGGTTTATGTTGGATTTGAGTCAAGAAGTCGACCATAATCAGAATTTTGCGTCAGAATCTCGCGTCAGAAACCCAGATCCAAACGGTTGACCAGTGAGACGACGAGGCTCTGGGGAGTCAAGCCACGCCAAGGAGATCAGATTACACAGTGGCTGAGCAGGGGTCTGGATGGGGCTTCTCAAATAGACTGTTTGAAGACGTTAAGTAGAGAAGCAAGACTTGGCTGAAGAGGAGCTGAGGCTTAGTAACAGAATCAGGGAACAGAGGGGTGAGGGGGAGGTGGCAAGGTTCAGGTGAAGGGAGCATATTGTTTGGAGGCTGGGGCAATGATGATATATGATGGTGGAGAATAGAGCAGAGCTGAACAATCCTTTGAAAGTTACAGTCTGGCAAGGCTCTCAAGGACTTGATGTGTGAGGGGGGAAAATAACTTGGGGGGTTCAGCACGACTTTAGGATTGGAAGCAACTTATCTTAGTGTTATCCACGTCCAAAATTGAGCACATAAGACACTGTGCCCAAAAGGCGGGAAGATGTCAGGAGCAAAAAGACCAGCTTTGTGTGCCCGGAACACCTCAATCAAGACAAAGCTTCCGATGAGTAGTGGGACTTACAGAGAGAGGTCTCCACGAAAGGGCCGCCGCCACCGTAGGCATTCCCGTCAACATCATTACCGTAACCGCATTGGCCGTTACCTGGCACAGCACAAGACTTGATTAGAAAGTCCTCGAGCAGACGAGGTCGGTAAAAGGAGTCTTTGCGCAAATTGCGCCTTGGTCCTCAGAAGCGCAACAAAGTTGACACTTGAGATTCAGCCTAAGAAAAGCAGAAGCTGAAAGAAGTTATAAATAGAGTGTCAAATGCGGGCTGCCTTAAAAGCGGGTTGTTCAGGTCAAGGTTGCCAAGCGGACAAAAAAAACAAGATGAGCTTTTCAATCCAAGCAGCTCCCACGATGCTGAAAAGTTATGTTCCTGAACCAACTGACCTAGGAACACCTCTATGAGGACAGTAAAAAGTTCCTATTCCTGCCCCTACATTACACAGCTTTTTCTTTAAGTCCCCTCTCAAAGGTAGACAAAGCATAATCTTTCAGTGAAGATTCAACCAACAGCCTTCTGGAATCAGCTCAACCTTGACAAACAGCGAGAACCGTGGACTTTTGAAACTGCTGCTGACAGCTCTCAGTCCCTGCTTCTAAGACTTGACGTTATCCACTCAGAACCGCAGCACAACAACAGTTGCAGTCCCTTTTCCAACTAAGCTTGCTCATATACCCAGCAGCACTTGGAGCTACAGTATGTATCCACGTTTCGCCTTCTAATCGGACAACTACTGCCCAAACTCAATCGGTTTTCAAAAGGGATTCCACCGAATAGCGGATGACCACATTCTCCGCCTTTTCCAAGCCCCCAAGATCAGAGCTGGGCTCCCACACCAAATGACCAGATTCTCACCCGTCGTGCAGTCCATGCCAGGTGAGTTGTAAAATGTCGCCGACACCTGGCTGCTCTGGCCCAGGCCCAGCGCCTTGCGCCTCGGCGCCTCCACTGTTTCATTGGAGATCTGGAACCTCCCTGACTGCGGATCAAAGGATGCAGTTGGGATCTCCTGCTTCTCGTCCCCCTGAATGAAAATGCTGTCACGGGCGGCCGAGACGGCGACCAGGGAGAGAGCCAGCAGAGCGAGGAGCTGGAGCTTGGTCGCCATGGCTGCAGCAACGGGCAGCTGGGCGAGAGAGGAGAATGGGGAGCAAAGTGACTTTGGAGATGTGGCGAGTTTTGTGCGATCACCAGTGCTTTTGAGGGTGCACGAGACTGCAGAGCATACCGACAGTGTCCAAAAGCGGAGCTTTCGCTTTGGGCAGATCTCGAGTCAGCGGTAGGTACTACCTAGTACCACCTACCTGGATAGACTAGGTATAGTCGTGCTAGCTACTGTAGAGCTATTAGGTAACCCGTTACCCTTACTTTTCAAAAGGGCCCGGTGATGGTTAGGGTTAAATTGGTTATGACTTCTGATGTTACGGTAGGTGACTTTGCCAGCGAGGAGCCTGATGGGGTGCCTTCGAGACGAGACGTGGTCATGCAAGATACCCGGGCCCGGCCCCGGGGCGTCCATTTAACACCGGCCGGAATCTCAGTGCTCTGTATAGACTGCAGTGTGCTGGCGGTGAGTCGCTCTGCACATGACAGCTAGCGGCCTCCACCAATTATTGCAGCAGTTACGACAGATTCCCTGCTCGCGCACCTCATAAATGTATGTACGTGTCGATCAGGCATGAATAAAGACAAACCCAAAGAATCGAAGATCCATCCACAAACGACAAAAGTTGTTGCACATGGGCGCCGTTCATCTAAGCACAACAAGATCGATCCACGGCTCAGGAATCTCGTGCCTTGAGGCTTTCAGCATGTGTACATTGCTGATTGGTCACGCGTGTTGACCATCAATGTTTTTCGGGACCAATGGGATTGTGCCGTACCGGAAAGCTGCAATCTGAGTCCGTAGATGCAGCATACTCTAGTCTCTCAGAGTGTTGCCGCGATGAAAGAAAACTGTCGACGACGGTACAGGCTCGGAGGGCCGCGCCCGAAAGCGCGAAGTGAGCAGCATAACTAGGTAGGTAGGTGAGTGCAACGTGAGGGCATGTGATTGTATGGCTTCAGAAAATCAGGTTCTCAAGATGCATACCATACAGCTGTCACTCTGGCAACTCTCGTGTGACTTTATCGAGGCGTGTGACTTAAGATAGGCGCCCGGAGGACGGGCGGGGTAGGCCTAAGGTGGTTAGGGTGGCTTGGAGTGCGGAGCGCATGCATGATTGTCTCGGTTAGGATTTTTAGTTTGTGTACCCGGTAGCTCGAATCAAACGCCCGTTAGGTCGCACTGGCAAGCGTTGCCCGTATATAGCTATCGTGGTCGCCCTGCATCTCCGAAATGCTGGAGTGGGATTGGTATGTTAAGTACACCAAAGTACGCCGCTCTTGCTATAGCCATTTGCATATCCTAAGGGTCTGGCAAGCTGATTAATAATCCCGCGCGGCACTAGTAAGCATCTCATTGATTTCTCGTTGAGTGTCATGCCCTGAAAATGGTGCATCCAAACGATTCTTTGTTACCAACTACCAAGAACATTTTCGGGAGACATGCCAGGCGCCAGCACACTCGCACCAACTCAGATCTCGCAATGCAACCTTGTGCCAAACGTGGTTTCATTGAGCAATGACAACCGGCATTCACCTCGCTGATGAGTCTTGTGGGTACAGGTGTCTGCGTATCAAGATGAATCATTCAGGGCAGTGCAAGCCCACACTTTTTCTTGCAAGGGCGGTAGCTTCTCATCCCGTCCCAGTATAGACTAGACCAACCAAACGGGGCCTTCGGCCAGCATGTCGCTGCGATCTCGGATTCGGAACGTCCTGTATGAGGACCTTGCTACTTCAACACGGTGGACAAGATTCATGTCTCCATCTCATCCTTGGACCAAGTGCCTTCGCCGTCGCCCCGAATGTGCACAACTTGCGAGTGCCATCTCTTGAGCGTGTGCCGGTGTGAGATGGTCAGAAGGCTGGTGTCAAGAGCAGCGAACTGGGCGTAGATACGCGCCTGCAAGCAGAAACTCGAGGCCTGAGCTTTGCGATTTCCAGGAATTGCCACATGATACAATGGGATAATTGGGACCTTTCGACTTACATGCAGTCAGATCTCACCACTCCTTGATGTCACTCAGATCCTGCAATGGGGCTGAGAACTTCTCGAAGAAACTCTGAAAGGGATGCGCAATTATTTTTGACACGCGGCACACGCCGCGATATCCGAATGCACAACCTTGGGTAAAAGCTTTCGTAAATGGCATCTCCCTTGGCCCGCACCTTCTTTGTGTATGACAATTCATGATACTGGTAGCCGTTTTCTGGCCCCCGGCTCGCATCTACACCCAAGCAAACCAGATGAATGCTGGCCTTTCCTTTGCGATACACCACAAGTGCGTTTCCGCTCGCTGAACACGTAACACAAGAAGAACGCGACATATGCGCCACTCCACGCTACAACCCACCCTCGCCAAGACGTGGGTCATGAGCGACGTCACATCAACTAGGATGGTCGCTCGCAGTCAAAGTACTAATTTTGACATCAGAAAGAGAAAAGCCAATTGCCCTTGCCGCACGGCTCGTGAGATTTCGAAGAAAGTGCCAACCCAGAATTTGTGGATTAGTCAAGTGGGCGTAGGCATCGTACTGACGGCATCGACGGAATGTGACGGCAACCTCACCATCCCATAAATCCACTCGGTGTTTGTTGCCGTCCAATCGGACATTGAATTTCGAACCCTACGCCCACTTTGGAAAAGTGCGTACCTCCAGAGCTTCGCCGATTGCACTGGTGGCTTCGTCCAGGATCGCCAGCCGGGGTCGGTGGAAGAGCACCCGGGCGAGGGACAGCCGCTGCTGCTCGCCCGGGGAAAGAATCGCCGGCCAGTCCTCGTCGCGCTGTAAAAAGAAAAAGATGACCTATTGAACCACTCTGGACCGGAATCCTGATTAATACCGGGCAGCTGAGAAGGTTGCTCCTTGCGGCTATCCTTCGTCTAGGGAAAGAATCGCCGGCCAGTCCTTATCGCGCTGCGGTAAAAATGATAGACCGATTTGAGAAAATGATAGACCGATTTGAGAGAAAGATAGGCCGTGTGAAGAAGAAGAGACCGTTTGAAGCACTCGGGAGGATCTAGGGCCAAACTCTGTTTGCTAATGGGCAGCTGAGAAGGTTACTCCTTGCGGTTGTCTTTCGTTCGCGGAAGGGATTGCCGGCCAGTCCTCATCGCGCTTTGTAAAAGGAGGATAGACCTTTCGATGCATCTTGCAAAGTTTAGGACAGAACTTAAGTGATAACGGGCAGCTGAGAAGGTTGCTGAAACTTTAGATTTGCGGCTGTCCTGCATCGCTGAAAAACTGCGTCATAACGTGGTGATCGCACACACTGCCTCGCCTCGATACGATCAAGTCCGGCTGGCCTTTGCACTATTGCAAGATCTGAGAGACTGATGCGCTCGAAGCATGCAAGTTCTATTGGCGGGCGTCAAGAGTGTCAATTCTTATTTGACTTTTCGTTTTAACGGCTCTCGACGTGGACGACCGAGCCCACTGGTTTCTGTCGGGCAGCTTTGAGACCCGGCTTCTCAGTATCCACCGGAGGCCCTCGCCACTTAGGCAGAGGAAGAAAGACAACGCAGCAAAGGAAACATATCTGACACTCAATGCAAAGCATTACAGTGGTCGATTACATATCTCCTCCTCCTCTTCCCAATAATAAAGACTGTCCTTATCCACGGAGTTCAACTGAACCCCAGGAAGATAATCGTAGAAGAAGAGCGTACAGAGAAGACCTTATGAAGCCGAACGACATTAGGTAAAGAAAACTACGGAGTCCGACTTACCGTCCAGTTGCCGTCCACTCGATGCAAAAGGCTGTCCAGTTCCACGATCGTCAGAGCCTCCCGCATCCTGCTCTCGACGTCCTCCGTGAAGGAAGGCACTTCCCGGGGGTACGAAAGCTGGGCCGCGAGACCCCCCCGGGCCAGGAGCGGCGTTTGGGGGAGGAACAGGGTGCCACTTCCACCGGAAGGAAGACCTGTCCGTATCAAACCTGCGAAGGGACCAGGATGCACTCCTCAGAAACAGACGTCGTTCGTGATAGACGGTATGGAAGGCGGCAGCCGATGCCCACTCAAAAGAACAGACTGGCGGGGGGCTCGATCAGGTTTTCGATCCGGAGCCTCGAAAGGACTTGCAAAAAGCCGTCGAGAAACGGACTGGGCGACTTCAACCCACTTCTGCAAAGGCCATCTGCTTAGGCTGTCACGATAAGCACAAACTGCAGCTTATTCTCGCAGGGAAAGGGATCCACTAAGATAAGTGAGTCCGAACCTTTGATACATAAAACATCACAAGATTTACACTAGGTTTGATGTCCAGACCCAGTAAGATTCGGAAGCAACGCTATCCAGGGACTGCAAGAGATTTTGGCCAATGCTCAGCACGCTTGATGTGATAACTGCGATGGAGAATTTGAAATGATAGACCGAATGCCCACACCTTGAAAGACGCAAACTCCAAAACCTTAAGAAGTGGTGTGTACACATGCGGACACCCACCTTCGACCTGCGGCCACAGCCCGGCAATGGCCCGTACAAGTGTCGTCTTTCCGCAGCCGCTCGGGCCCATCAGCATAACCCGCTCCCTAACCCCAATCCTTAGGTCGAATGCTCGCACCACCAAAACGCCCCCGGGGGTCTGCACCGTCAGGTTGCTAACCTCCAAAACAGGAGCACTAATGGCGTCGCTAACCCCATCTGCAAGCTCGGCACTTATTCCGTGAGTTGATCTGGGCGAATCGAAAGGCGGGCTCCGATCGGAAACAGATATCCTGGCCTTCTCGATCGCTTTGCTGAGCACGTCCAGTGGGGCGTTGGTGAAAAGCGAGGCGGGATACGTTCTCGACCCAAACCGGGGGTGGAACACGACAGGACACGTGCCTGAGGTGCCGGTCTCGTAACCCAACAAAACTTCAGCCCCATGGACTTCGCTGTACGCTGCTGTTAGCTGATCAGAGGACTCTAACCCTAAAACTAAACCTGCTTCTGACCCTTGTGCATCTTCGACAGTGACTATTTCGCCGTTGCTAGAGTGCGGACTGAGGTCGGCTGAGCGCAAGAGACTGCTTTGCAACCTGGCGCTGTTGGAGGGGTGATTTGAGGCAGCGCTCGTTTCAACCAACGCTGGGTTAGAGGACAAACCAATGCCTAAACTACTGCTGAGGCTGCCGAACGAGCTCTCATCCCCTAGCGAATCGGCCTCCTGAAACTTCCCAGCGCCTCGCCCATCCCGGCCGTTACTGCGACGGTTCCCCAAATTGACGCCAAGACTATCTCCCAGATCCACAAGAGCCTCAGGCTTCACTCCACATCTCAACGGCTCCGCCTCCGCAAACCTTGAAGAGACCGCTAATCCGGTTCTTGGATCGACCGCTGCCGCCCAAAACCCTCCCTCGCGGAGCGCCCCGCAAACCGCGCCCTGCCAACTCAGGAACACGTCGCCTAACCGTGCCATCTCTTGAGACACGCTCAACTCATCCCCTGCCCCTTCCAAAACGTCCGAAGACGGCCCTGAAGCTCCCGTTCCGTTTCGATCCACACTCTTGCCGCCGCCGCTAATTCTCCCCTCCCAAAGATCGACTTTTGCGCCCTGAAACGTGGGAACCACTAAAAGGGGCTGCGTCCACAGGCCCGGCGCCCCCTGCTCCAAGAAAACCTCTTGGAGGATCCCCCGCAGCTCGGGCGGCACCGTGTGAACGCTGAACTCGAGGGATCCCCCTCCGAGAGATTGCGTTAGCGGCCCTAGCAGAAGCCCGTTAGGGAATCCCTCTTGGACGGGCGCGAAGGGGTTAGGGAGGGTTTGCGTCCAGGGGAACGGGTTTGAGAACTGGGCTAGGGGGCCTTGGTCTTTCAACCCCGGGAGGGAGGGCGTTAGGGCTACAGACTGCGCAAGGAAGTGCGCAAGCGAGTCTCTTTCTTGCGGGCCCTGTTTTTGAGAGCGGCACTTCTCATCAGGTTGGACTTTTGCTTCGGTCGCCGTGCCCCCCATCCTTTCCAGGGCCTCAAACAACCCCGCAACACGGCCGGTCACCCCCGCCACGTCAGACAGCACTTTCGCTGCATCAATCAGCTGGGTGAAGCTGTAAATCAGGGTCAGAATCGCAAACGACGCATTGCTAACCAGCTGTGCTATCGCGCCCTTGTCGACTTCTGCCCCTTTCCCGTAGATCCCGACGAAAATAGGGAGTGCGAGGATGGCGTAGTTGAGAATTGAGCCACTGTAGTCATAGGCCTTGCTGCCTAGCTCAAGGATTGTGTGGCGGATGACGAGCGAGCGCTGGTTGGTTAGGACGTGGTTAAGGTCCAGGTTAAGGGCGGTCCGCTCGACGGGGCTGGAGGCGTACAGAGCCACTTGCTCGGCGTTGTTGCGCAACCTGGGGCACAAAGGGGCGGGAACGGCGTCAGAATCGATAACATAAAGCACTTTGCAAAGTCAGAAACTGCATCTGATTGCACTTGTGTTGCTCAACATCAAGTTCCATTGATGACGTTGCTGAACACAGTGCTTCTGAACGCGTGCCTGGACGGCTTCTTGGCACGTTGGAACAACGTGAGACCAGGGACCGGTGCTTTGACTGGACGGACGACGAGCTTGCTATCCATTATAGCCAGCAACATGAGAAGTGCCTCGCTTTTCTTACTGAGTTGCGGCCCTTCATCTCTTTCTGTCAGCCAGAAGGTCATCCACGCTGCTCACCTGACGTGTGCAACTCGGAAGTCCCCTTCCAGCTTCTCTTGCTTTGCCACAAGGGCCGCGATTGGGGAGATCAGGCAGCGCGCCCCCAGAGTACCGACAGAAAAGAACAGGTACACAGCGAGAGGCCCTGTCCAGCCGACGTACGACCAGACAAGCACCGTGTAGTATGCAATCATGAGCGGAGCAACAACGGTCTTGTGGAGGAGTTGAGCGAGGCCTGTTGAGAAGAGCTGGATCTCCTGCAGCAGAGAAGAGCGCAGGGTGGTGTCAGGAAAAGAAAGGGTTGTCATGAGGGTAAGACGACGATTGCCAAGAACAGGATGACCTCCTGAGACATCTTTTTGCGTACAGTGTTGTGAAGAAACAAATAGTTTGGTGTGGCCTTTGCGAAGCTCTTCGTAGGATTGAAACCTGGTCTCAAAGTGCGGTTTACAGATTGCCAGAGCGCAATGACAAATTTTGCGATTTTGATTCGTCTCACGGCCAGTTTAAGATAGTTACGAGGGCGGCCAACTGAAACCAGTTACAGTTTTTGGGACCGCCAATACTCTGCCAGATGCGACCGCCAATACTACGTATGATTCACAAATAGGGTCCCAAATGCAAGCACTAGTGGCCTTAAAAGATTCCATCTGGGAGCCCCCTTCTTCCATCAGATAACCACCAAAATGCTCAAACGTCAGACCCTACCTGAGCCACACGCTGATCCGGGTTATCCACCGCTCCCTCTTTCATGAGGTGAAACACGTTCGAGTCACGGCAGTATCGGCTGTGAGCGGCCAGTGTCAACCGCTTCCGCCACTGCAGCGCTAGCATCTCCGAGACTCCGAGCTTGACACCAGCGCACAGCGCGGCAGAGCTATACCAGAGCAGGGAGCGCCACATGGCGGAAGCAAAGAGCTACAAGAGGGGCAACCAATGGGGCACAGATCAGTGAGTGTTCACGTGGTGGTACTGAAGCGAGCAAGGAAGAATGCTCAGGCAAGCTCATCCAAATAGAGGAACGCTCTTGAAAGCTGTGTGGTGCTCTGATGTCTTCTCCCACTTCCAAGTTCGTCAGCTGTCCTAGGGCTGGGGGGGGAGCTTAGGTCATGCTGTAAGCCATTCGCTTATGAGTTAGACGATACATGCCTCGAGGGCTCTTCAATTGGCTGATCAAGAACGGAACCTTAAACTGACTTGAATGCCAAGTCCTCTGAAACACCCATCCTCTTGAACCCTCTTGAGGTCCAAATGACACCCTCTGAACCCTAACCCTAAAATCTTGCAATCACAAACAATGTGAGCCTCCGCAGCGCTCACCTTCACGTCATTATCCAACAAGGCCTTGTAGAACAGCCCGGGAAGCACGCCGACCTGCGCAATCACGAGCACCTCCAGGACTGAGAGGGCCGCTAAGAGCAGTGCACCCTGAGCTCCGGCAAGCACCATGAGTCGCCCCAGTCGCTGCACAAAGCGCAAGTCAACGCCGTTGTCTTGCCTAGGAGTGGCATTATCTGGAGCTCGCGCATCCTTGCTATCTTCGGAGGGCTTGGAACCAGCCAAGATCTGGTCAATGGAGATGCATTGCTCTTTGGCCCCATTCTGCAGGTGCGTGTACCCATGAAGCAAAGGTGTCTCCATCTTACCAGCCCCGACTACAAAGAAGAAAGGGTGGCCTTTCCTGCCAGCATTTCCAGACCATTGGCAGCTGGATCTGCAGCTTTAAAAAACTGGCCTACTTCAGGTAACGAACACCGCTTGCAGTATGAAGAGTTGGTGAATCGCTGTCATTTGGAGCTAGGTATTTAGGTACCTCCTATGCATTTGTGAGGACCTCAGCTTCAGAATGGTTTGTGCTCATACTTTGAACAGTCTTCAGCGTTCAGGCCCAGGGCGGCTTTAGGCATTAGTCCTAATGGCCTGCCATGAGGGCCTGGACCTGGGTTTAGGGTCAAGGTTGGGTGCTTGGTCAAGCATCATGCTATTATGTAAATAGCATGGTTAAAGAAGCTGCCATGCATGGCTTGAGGGCTGAACCGTTTAACCGTAAAGGGTTAACGCAAACGGAGGTTTAGAAGTAAACTAGCAGAACTTGAACTTGAAGCGAGCGCGGTCAGAAGCGAGCGCGATTCTAAAGCTCATAGCTAGTAGGGGCAAGGTGCTCAACAAAGCATTGCAACAGGCAAAAGGACAATCACAAAGCTGTGCCAGCAGCAAGAAAGGGCGGCCGCTGCGCTGTTCACCCTTTCGCTGAGCCAAGCATCAGCCCACTGGCGATTTGATATGCCGCTGCCTTAAGTTAACAGCCGCAGCATTGTTCTGATATAGATCGATGGCGGTGCGAGCGGCCCAGCGAGTGGGCGCCAGCAACACTGCCAAGTGGTTTGCCGACCGCACACGAATCGCAGCCTCGCCAGTCAAAGCAGGGAATTGCTTGGTTACTGCTCTAGCTGTTGAAACAGATTGCTCAAGGGGGGTCAGTCTGTTCATCTCAGCACTTAGCAGGAAAACCACTGTCTCCAACTTGAAACAGTGTGCTTCAGTCGCCGGATTCCCAATCGTCAACCTAAGTCCACCACTCAGGGGCGTCCGCAATAAAAGAAGGAGCTCCGCCATCCCACGAGCTTCGGCCACCGCTCTCACATCATCGAATGATGAAGCAACTCACAACAACTTACAGCAGGAGCACTACGACAGAGACTATGCAGCCTACATCCAGGAGGTTCCACCTAAAGTCACGGAGTCCTTGGAAAAGATTGTAAATGCCGCCAGTTTGAAACCGTCTCACAAGGTGTTAGACTGCGGCTGTGGACCGGGCCGCTTGATCCCCCATATACTGGCGGCTGGAGTGGAAGATGTAGTAGCGGTTGACCTGTCTATCATGATGATTGCCCTGGTGAAAGAGCAGTTTGACAATGTGCGCTGCTGGCAAGGGGATATAGTGAATCTGCCTCCAGCGTTCGGGCCTTTTGATGCAATCTTTGTGAACGAAGTCCTGGAGAGTGTGCATTCGCAGGAGGCGGTGCTGAAAGCAGTGGCCGGATTGCTCCAACCAGGTATGATATCTACTGTTTTTGGCTTTCCTTGCTCTGCTTACTAGACTGAGAAACCCATGGGGGGTTGGTGCAGTGGTGATGGCAAAGTGCTTGTGCGGTGCAGGTAGACAATGATAAGTACACCACCTCCTTATCGTGCTTCTATTTCAAGGGAAAGTTTATCTCTTGGACTTAAAGGAATCATCCCCTAAAACGACGTATGGTCGGACATTCAAACTTCAGACCTTCCTGTCACTGTACCAAGGAGAAGCACCCCATCAGATGACGTCTGGTCGTACATATTGAACTCACAGACTATCCTGTCAGTCAAAACATCACGCAACAGAAGACCTGTCTGCCTGCAATGAAAGGAGAGTCGTGCCAGGGGCAGTTGCTGAGGAGCTTGTGGTGACCTCGTCATCGCCATCTCACATGCAGGGGGAGCAATCATCATCAGTCACTCGCAAGGGCGGCGAGTATCTGAGTTCTACAAGAAAAAGAGTCCTGAGCTCCACCCCCATAGTCTGCCAGATACAGAGGAGCTGAAGAAGCTGGCGGAAGGCGCCAGTTTAGATGTAGAGGCGTTCACAGATGCTGAGGACTTCTACCTGGCTGTCCTGAGGGTGAGTATGCGCACAGGCGTCACTGTTGATTTTGCAGGAGCATGTAGCAGTTACTGAATATAATGGGGCAGTGCAGATAGAGACGATGAGCGTCTTTTGTTTGCCTGGGCTCAATCTCCCTTGACGCCCTGCTTGAGGGTTGTGAAAAGGTCGGGTGCAGGGTGCTCATAGACCCGATTTCCTTCAGGCAAAGACGGCGTTTGTGCCTCCCTAGTTTCGAACAAGGACCGGAGAGTCAAAAAGGACAAAAGCTCGTGATTGCTGCAAGCTGGATAGCACATGGCCCTTGGGCCGACTGTCATTGTCAAACTCCAGTGTCAATCTGGTGTGGATGCTTTGTCCCACCAACTCTTTACTCGCCCTGGCCATCTTGAAAACAGAACATCTTCTTTGCCCATGTGCCAAGCACGTGCCACTGCACTGGATCAAAGTGCATACCATCTTTTAGAACACCTTGCAGGACTCTCGAGCATCAAGCGAAACGCCTAGGCGAAGGGAAGAGGCGGCAACGTCTGATTGGGAAGATGGTAAGCACCGAATAGCCTTCGTTTGGAGACACCTATTGGGGAACCGCTCTAGTTCTCGTGGTCAGGGGGGTTCGGAGAATCAAGACTAACTGTACGTTTGAACCAGATTTTTGAAAGGCCCGAGCAAAGAAGGCGTCGGCAAAAAGAGTATGTCGCATCTGCAAAGCGAGAACACCATCCTGAGGTGTAATCACGTACTTCTTGGTACGAAGCGGGTGATAGACTGGCATCGAAACAGCAGCAGAGGACCAACTCTCAACGCCACTTTGTCGTTGTTTTCAATAAACAACTACCACGTTCTTCGTCCTCCAACGCTGACACGGCTTTCACATGTGCAGATTCTTCTGCTGATGTCGGCTTGACACGACCGATTTCGATACGTTTGCATCCTTGGTGCGCGGCAGTGTTATGCTTCCCCAAAACCTGACGTTCCTGCGTGTACAGATCCATACTACTTCGCAAAAGCGCCCCTCTACATGAAGACGCCCGTCGTGTCTGGATTCGGCCGGGGGAGCCGACAGCTTGGATTCCCAACTGGTGAGCTAATGACTCCATTCAAAGCTCCCGAAGAAACTGTAGAAGCGTTCTTACGACACATGTAGTCGAAGTTCTGGAGTCTTGCGTCTTGATTTTGCAGTTTACAGCGTTGACCAATTGCCCGTACCTAGCCTACTGAAAGCAGCAAAGTCGGTATACAATTTTTCCTTCCACGCGAATGCACCTCTGGTTCTTTCGTACCTACAAGTAGTGTCGACAAATCAGTTCGAATTGCGGCTGACGCTTTCAGAAGGAGCCTCGACTCGAAGATTGAGTAGATTCGAAGGGCACGATTGTGTGCGGAACAGGGCCGATTGTCAGTTCCACAACCTCCTCCCTCGTCCCGATCGAATCATTGTTCCATACCCTTTAGAGCATTAGGTACAGTGTGTTCAGAACACTCTCTCGACTTTTGATAAGTCCCGTTTGATCAGTGATATCCCTCAGCAAGGTCGTGTGATGCAATCACGTCCATCATATTCCGCTGTCCGTTTTCCTTCCGCCAGCAAACCTGGCGCCGGAGCTGCTGGTCAAGGAATTAGACGGGCTGATGAACGGGGTCTACTTCGGCTGGGCGCGGCTAGTGGCAGAAGGGAAGGACGACAAAGTCTACAAAATGGTCATGAACGTGGGCAACCGACCGACGTTCGCGGACGGCGCCGGACAGACGATCGTAAGTGACAAAAGGCGGCGGTTGTCTGTATCGTGCGTGGCTCATTTGAGGCGACCGGTGCAGCGCGTGTAGCTGGCACAGGTCGCCTTCGTGGCTGTCTTGGTGGATAGCAGGCTGTGAGCCTTGGTCCTTTGAAAGGGCTACACTACATTGAGAAAAGCTGGCTTCAGATACTGGCTGGCCAACACATGAGATACTGTGTGGCGGATGTGGCGTCAAGCATGAAAGCCCCGCTTTCTGAGTCTCCTTGCGTAGGATCTGCTGCCACGAGGAGGTTGATTGAGGGACGTCTATTGTTGGTTCTCCGTGTAGACACTCGACAAGGGGGACCTCGTCCGGTCATTTGTGTTTGAGGTTTCGAGAGTGGACGTATCTCGGCAAAGCACTTGCCCACGCGCCATTCTCTTGATTTTAAGGTAGCACGTTGGCTGAATGCAGAATGCCAATCGAGGAACCTGTTCATAAGCATCCTCAAAACTTCCTTGACAGCTCAGCGGCTCAGCAGGATACCCACTATTTGTGCGTCGTCATTGCGGAGGCTGCCGTAGTGCTAACCGTGAAAGTACCCTTGACTCTGGGAGCTCACTCCTTCCATTTCAGGAAGTTCACGTTTTGAACAAGTACGAGGCGGATTTCTACGGAGATGAGTTGAGGGTCGTGGTTCTAGGCTGCATACGACCGGAGCAGAAGTTTTCGTCCGTCGGTGAGCGACCTCTCTTAGTGTTCGTACTTTTGAAACAAGTGGGCTTGTGTGAGAACGGCCGCAAGCTTTGGTAATTCCCAGACAGCTTTGCTGCTTTCAGCTTTTCTATTGGTTTGATTCCTTATTGAGAGTCAAGCTGAGCCGACTGATCCCTCTCAATAACGCCATTTTGACCCCTTCGTTGAATGCTCCTCAAGAGAACAGGCACAAACGACCTTCGTTTGATTTCATAATTGCTTTCTGTGATACAGCGGATCTAGTGAACCGGATAAAGGAGGACGTGGCCATCACGGAAGAGGCTCTCGAAGATGACAGTAAGCGACAATTTAGCCGAGACACGTTTCTACTCGGCTAGACGTGCTATCCTTATACGTGACCACCCTCCATATGCGCAGCATCAATGCTGCCGGACTAGATCCCAGCTTTCTGCCTGATGTAACGACTTGGTGGTAAGGTCAAATTTGGCCATGCACATCCGGATCGGAATGCTTGGGTGGGGCCTTCGCTTCATTGACAATACCGTATATGAAGCTCCGAGCATTACTAGTCCTTCCATGGTCTGACCATGATTCTTTGTGCATCTTAGGGTGATTCTCAATTGTCAAGCATCCGACCAACATCGTGAATTTCAATTTATGTCTAAGGGGCGCTGACTCCTTGCGAACCGTCCGTCCATCATGAAGCGAACCATAACCTATGCAACACCGTTGATTGGTTGGCGAGGCTTTGCAGCGTTCGTCGTGAAACATGCACTGATTGGTAGCCTTGCAATATGCATTTGAGGGCCGCGCATATCACTTAGGACAACATGTGTTTCAAATGCACACCCGCGTGTAACTTGCATTCGCGAGGGGCATAAGTTGTTCATCAGAATCCGTTCCCGCAGGAGTCACTATTCAGCGCGTGTGTAGCAGCTAGTCAATCATGACTCAGCCCCAGTGTAGATTGATTGCAGGCCTGCACTGACAGCTGCATATGCCGACTCGATTATGCAAGGGCCGTACCCAACAGCTCTTAGGAGCAACCTTTGTCTGACCTCTTCAGCCTTGGAACTTTCTAAGCCATTCGCTTGTATAAGCAATTCAAATCGAAAACTCGTATCCATCATGGAGGGGTTATTGCTGACGGTTAGTCCTTCTAGTTCCTAGTGTCCACCTGCTGCTGCAGAAATGATCTTGACAGTAATGATGCTCTACTCCGGCTCGCAGAACTCTGCTTCTTGGGGCTCCTTGAAAGCCTTTTTGGGCCTCGTTTTTGGCAACGCCGTAGCTCTTGTCGCTCCTACGTACCAGTAAAAGTTCTCCTTGTCGCCGTCTACTGTAATCGAGTGCACCGGCAGCCAGAAGAGCAGCTTCGTTTTCATGCCTTCAATCTCGTCTAGACCTTCCACTGCCACTCTTGCCGTTATCTTCTGTGCATAGTACACTACCGAGTTGTCAGCGTACGTCACCTCACACTCACCCGGCAACTCGACTACGAATTTGCACGTGTCCTCGTTGAAGCTGAAGTTCGTCACGCCCTTGGGGAAGATCCCCCTTGGCAGACCCATGGACTCCAAGTAACCATACGCGTCTTTCTTAGAGGCGCGGGTTCCTGTCGAGTAGAGCGGTAATCAAAACCAAAAAAATCAAGGTTGAGAAAGCACAGCAGGCATAAGACCAGGATACACTATGAAGCCAGATCGAAAAGATGAGCCCAGACAGCACAATCAGAAAGCTGATCCAGACTCGAACTCAACCAAGATGCTAGAGGTCTAGCAGTGTTCATTTGAGCACCTGGGATGTCAAGGATCTAAATGAACCTGGAACCAGCTAAATCCTTTGTTACGAGGCACGTGGCATGATAGAACAGAAAAGACAACGTGGGCTCGCATAGATACTTTTGAAAGAAAGAGGATGATCTGACTTTGAGCTCTTGACAAGAGCACCTGAATGCTCTTTAGCTCCCGTTTCAGGGCCACGCAACTTCACTCACAGAACAAGAGAGGTACCGACACCCCCGACACGAACGGTTCCAGAATCAAGCGCCTCTATAACTAACAGGAGCCTGTCTAGCTGGAGCTTCGAGAAAGAATGAACGGTGACATCATGCTGTGGGGACTTACCCAGCGAAGTGAATGCTTTCCCAGCATTCTTTGCCATGTTCTGCGTATGGTACATAGAACAATCAGAGTCAGTCCGGCTTTTAGGAAGACACAGCCTTGGAGCCATCTGTCTGCAGTTGTAATCCTGCCTCCCTGACCTCATCAGCATATAATGAGGCACGGCTCTTTAACAACCATCATGTCTCGGTCAACCATTGAATTTGATAAGCATCAAAGCTTTTGAGCACCAAATTTCAGCTGGCTTGAAAACCAGAAGCCAATAGAAGTGCTCCTGTCTTGAAGCCTAACAACAAACCAAATGGACCCCATCCGTACAATTCAGTTCGATGGCGGCCAATGCGCACCTTGAGATCTCTTGCGGTGTCGTCTGCAAACTTGTCCATCTTGTTTTTCGTCCGCCCGAACAACACCTGACTGGCAAGCTTGTCCATTGCAAGGTGTCACTTACGAGGAAGAGCTCAAGCTAAGATGGCGCAAGGAATCACAGAGCAAACCTTGATGCGGAGGTGAAGAGATGCTGCACATGGACCTCAGAACTACCTACGTTGAGACGATTGTAACGTTTGACATCAGGAATTCAGAAGTTGTTCGATCTTTCATGAATATTTAATAACAAAATCTGCACGAAGCACCAAGACGAGCAAGAAACGATAAGGAGCAGAACGGAAGAACCGGCACAGTAACGGCTTTACAGACAAAGGCTTCTTGGCGCACACAGAGAGCACACACGGGACGTGAGCTCAAGACAAAAGATGGCGGTTGAAGAACCGGCAGCTATTAGGTGCCAGGTTTTAGGGTTCATAATTCAAGCTACATATATATGTAGGTTTAAACGATTTGTCAAGTTTTTCGCCTGGTTTTCCAGAATCAAACACTGTCCTCGACCAAAAATCCTGACTCACTCCTGAGCTAGGTTCCGGATCCATCGATCACTCATTGGCGGGTTCCGGATCCATCGATCACTCATTGGCGGGCCTGCACCCAGCGCTGGTCCAAAAATGCAGGCATCTTGTGACATCGTCATGGCTACTGCAAGGCCTTCCTTCTTGCAGTCTGCGTTGTTTACACGCGGTCTTTGTGGTGAGGCTCCGGGGTCTGATGCGCGGCGGTTTCAAAATCCAAGGAGGCCACATCAGAAGGCATGTCCAGCTGCAAGGAGGATCACAAGAGCTTATCCTAGTCACAGGGCTACCCTGCCAGCCCCGAGCACACCTAATCCAGCAACCCCTAATGCTAAAGACACCTCTTCAGCTCACAGCATTCAATCTGCAGAACCTAATCAAGCAAACGGACAGCAAGCAGAACCTATTCCTGGCTCTGAAGCCGCCCCTAGCAAGGAAGGCATTGATTCCCCAGGTAGAGCTGCTAGCGTCTCAGGGAAGAATGGATTGCCAGCATGTCAAGCTGAGAGAAACCCATCGAGAAGACAAGTCCTTTCCACTGTTCTTACAGCAGCAGGGGGGAGCTGCATTCTCGATCAGGCCCCTAGCACAGCTGATGCCGCTTCTCTTTTCCCCACCCCCCCAAGTGACACTTTCCCCTCATCCTGGTTAGGCAACACCGTGAGCGAATGCAGTATCAGCGGAGTGTCTGCTCTCAGAGACCCAGTTCTAAACCGGGGCCTCACCCTGACTGCAGCTCAGAGACAGAGCCTGGGGATCGAGGGCCTGCTGCCCCCTGTGTTTGAAGAACTAGGTACGGAGATAGAGCGCGCGTTGTGGAACCTGGAACAGTGTACGACGGATCTGCAGAAGTACCAGTATCTGGTGACGCTCAAGGAGACGAACGAGGCGTGCTTCTACGCACTGCTGATGGAGAGGACACAGGAGCTGCTCCCAATCGTGTAAGTGATAAGTCATATGGTCTTGTGCTGTTCAAGCAAAGCAAGAAAGCTGAAAGTGAGATGAGACTCAGCAAGTGTAGCATCTCCCACCGGGATCGGCTGCAAGGATATCCTTCCGTTCTACTTGTTGTCTTGAAACAAAATGCTTCGGGTTTTAGGCGGCTGTCAGACTTTTGGACGGAATGCGCAAACTTGGGTGACAAGATGAGTACATAGCGAATTGAGTACATGGGAAAATCTCCTTGGCTGATCGAACCAGCGTTTATTATGAATCAAAGCAGCGATTGTTTTGGAACGATAATGACACTGCAAAGGCCAACCACTAGAATTGGAAACAGGGTGTCTGCTGGCGGATACACATCAGCTTGCATGTTCCACAATCTCTGCTATGCAATAATGACTGCTCTCACAATTCCACAGGTACACTCCAACCGTAGGCGATGCGTGCCTTAACTTTGGGACGCTTTCGCCGAGGCCAATGGTAAGTCAGATGATCCCGCAATACCCGGCCTTGCTTGGAGATGTTTATATGTTTATATGAGCAGCTGCTTTCCCAGGTCGCATATGCTAAAGCAATGGAACATCCAGAGCGATGGATTCTTTCAAAGCGACCTACTCTTGTGTATGACAAACACAGTCGTCATTGTCCCCAATGATGTGAGAATTGGAATGGTTCCCTAATACATAGGTTTGTAAGAAATCAGTCACATTAATATCCAGCTCACCGTCTTCAGTCGATCGAAACCGAAGCGAAATTCGCTGATTCTACTTCGTGCCGTTTCTGCCAGGGGCTCTACGTCTCAGTAGCAGACCGCGCACCCGAGCGGATGATGCAGAATGTCAGCAGTTGGCCGGAAGATGACATCAGGATTGTGGTCATCACGGATGGGGAGCGAATACTAGGACTTGGGGTGAGCTCCGCTCTCCAAAAACGTTAATTTTTCAACTTTGAAGTCCCACCTGTTTTCGAGTGACTGAGGGCTTTTGTCCGTGGTCCTTAGGACGTGCGTCTTTGAGTGAGGGGGGTCGAGAATCTGAAGTATCTGTATACGGTGGAGTGAAAGAGAACAACCTTTGAAAGCTTCTCCAGAGAGTTGCCTTCGTCTTCCAGAAGGACGGAAGACGCTCTCAGCCTGTCGAACCTCAGAAGTGTTTCTGATTGAGAACCGATCTGACAGCTGACCGGAACGTTGCTTGCAGGATCTGGGCGTTTATGGCATGGGGTGAGTGCCATCATTCCGTGGCTTGTTCCAATTTGTCCCCGCTTAATCTTCATCGTTCCAAGTCACCGCAAGCATTGCGATCCAAGAAAATATTTGATCATCCATAAAGATGAGTCTTCGAGCCGTCTGCACCAGCACTGAAGTGGTGATGAACTCAATCTGAAGGCTTACGCTGATATGTTTTTGATTCTGCATTCACTCTTGCGTCTGAATGACTTCCAATGCTGCACGCAGCCCTGTTACAAAAAGACGCACCTACCTGTTTTGGAGTACAGAGCAGACATAATTCTTCCGGGCAGCATTCTCCGGAATCCATTTTCGGCGGCCCCCCAAAACTTTGTCCGAGAGATTGCTCAGAAATTGCTTTTGCGGTCTGATCTTAATCGCCTTCGCTATTCGTTTTCCGGATTCCAGAGACTTATTCTTGAAGTCGTAGGCTCCCCGGTGTTTCTGATCGGGCCTGCATAGCTGTTGGTGACATAAGGAGGGAATCTTTCAGGACATTGCAGCTCTTGTTGCCTCCTGATCCTTCGTCCCGAGTCCTGGATTGTCTGTCCGGCCAGATCTCTCTTGCTCCCCTCCGAAACTCCTAGATCAACTCAAACGTTGTGTACGGCTTTTGATGGCGTCAGCACACTTGAGCAAATGCCAAAATCAGTGTTGCGTTGGCAGTGGCTGAAATCAAATTTCGGGATCTGTGTTTCGCTTACAATTTTGGTCTGGCGGGATGCAATGGGTTCTTCACCCTTTTTCTATTGCTTGAGCCTCAAATAGAAGGAGCGAGTCAAACTAAACCCAGTTTCTAAGCGAACCATTTTCAGTGGCAAACCCCGTTCCTAACCAGCCGCTCTTTTTGAAACCCCGTCAGGATTCCCGTGGGCAAGTGCATGGTGTAGCGGCTTGTGGTGGCGTCAGCCCACGTCAGCTGCTGCCAAACCTTGCTATCATTTTCGACTTCAAAGATAAGGAGCGAGTCACTTTGAAGCCAGTTCCTAACCGACTTGAACGTGTTTATCAGCTAACCCGACATTTGGGGACCCCGTCAGAATTCCTGTGGGCAAGTGCATGGTGTACACGGCGTGTGGTGGCGTCAGCCCACGTCAGCTGCTACCCATCACTGTTGATGCCGGCACCAACAACGAGGCCCTGCGCAGCAGTCCGTTCTACTTGGGACAACGGACGGAACGAGTCAGGTGGGTGTCAATGTTTCGAATCTGTAAGGCACGCTGAGAGCTTTGACACTTTCAATCAGCAGTCCGTTCTACCTGGGCAACTGACGGGCCGAGTCAGGTGAGTGTCAATATTCAGTTTCTGGAAGGCAAGCCAAGAGCTTTGACAATGACCATCAGCAGTCCTTTCTTACCTGGGCAACTGACGGACAAGTCAGGTGGGTGTCGACGTTTCCACTCTACAAAGCAAGCAACAAGGTCCGACGCGTTCAATCGGCATTCCGTTCTCGGGCAACGGACGGAACGGAACCTATGGGTGTCCATGGATTTTCTGCAATGCAACCGAAACTTTGCGCTGCCCATCCACGTTCCGCTCTGTCAGGGGCACCGGACGGAACGGGATACGAAAACAAGGGGGCAATAAGATTCGACGGATGTGATCGCGACCAGAGCGAAGATGGGGACCTGTCGATCCAGAGGGGTGGAACTTATAGTAGTTGTTGAAGTCTTCAATATCAGACGAAAGCTATTGATTCTCTCTGGATTTCTAGGGGCGTGCTTCAGAACTTGGAATGTAAGTAGTACGGGTCGTTTTATTCGGACCTGCATCACCCCAAAGATAGGCATGCTACTTCTGCCCCATATCTACTCCCGGGCTCTTCCTGCATACGCAGGCGCTGCTTATATGAGCGCCTCCATGTTTCCAGCTTTGAAAAGGCCGCTTGTCCCTTTATGTGGGCTCGTCTTCAAGGCGAAGTCTTGGCTGATCGAAAGCGGCCGGCGGAGGAACGAAAACGCTTAGCAGCTTACCGCCACAGGATCTACGGAGCAGGACGGGAAACCCACGGTCTGATTCGCGGCTTGCGAAGGAGCTCCTGAACATCATGGTCTGGGGACGTCGACCACATACTTCTCGATTTCATTTTGACTAAGAGCGCGTTGACTAAGGACAGTGCTCGGGGACTAAGGACAACAGTTACTAAAAACCTAAACCCAAAATTGACACGCTCCGCACCCGTACCCACCCTAACCCCCGAACCAACCCTACCCGTCCCCCGGGCGCCCTCCTTAGTCAACATGAAATCGAGACGAGTGTCGACCACTACTTTGTGCGACGAATTTTTGCGGACGTGTTCCTTCTGCTGTGCTTCCTAGGGGTGAAGAGTACGATGACGTCATGATTTCGTTGCTAGACGCGTTGCAGCGGCGGTACGGGTGCGGCGTGGTGATCCGCTGAAGGCAAAGCAAACTTCAGGGTTTGGGTGACGTTAGTCACTTACTGATGTCGTCTTCGTTCTGCTATGTATTCTAGGGGCGAGGAGTATGATGACGTCATGGACTCGCTAATTGACGCGCCGCGGCGGCGGTGCGGGAGCGGCGTGGTGACTGACTGAAGGCAAAGCAAACTTCAGGGTTTTTGGAGACGTCAGCCACTTACTAATAACGTCTTTTTTCTGCTATGTATTCTAGGGGCGAAGAGTATGATGACGTCATGGACTCGTTGATCGACGCACTGCGGCGGCGGTATGGCGGCAGCGTTGTGATCCACTGGGAGGACCTTGGGGCGGGCAACTCGTGGCGCCTCCTCGAGCGGTATTCTGCGCGGCAGGTGCGCTGACGTCATTCCGCTCTGATGTGACGTCAGCTATTGTGCGAACAGCATCTTCTTTGCCCCGCTCATTCTGGAGGACGTTTAGCATGAGAGATGTCGGGACAACCATACGAGAACATACTAGCAACGACGCCAGGTGAGTTTATTAAGTCGTCACTTTGTTTGCCCGCCGAACTCACTCGATGTAAAAGTAACATTCTGCGACATGATGCAACATCCTGGGAGGGTTGGTCACATGACGAAATGTTATCCTTCAGCGCGAAAGAAGACGTGAAGGCCATGCCAGAAGTTTGACGAGGAACAAAATCGAAGAGAAGAAGCAGACGCAACGCGGAAGTGAGGATTATGACGAACAGTCATCTCGAACAATCATCGCGAAACAAGGCAACGCCACATCCAAACATTTGAGATGGCGTCAACTGAGACGTACTCCTCGTCAGGTGTGTACGTTCAACGACGACATCCAGGCGACCGCGGCAGTCGTTTTGGCGGGTCTGCTGAGCGCGCTGCGCATCACGGGGGGGCGGCTAAGGGACCAGCGGGTGCTCTTCTTCGGGGCCGGCCAGGTGAGGCCACGCCGCGTCACCTTGACCCTGATGCTGACGTCATCTTGACTTTTTTTGCATTGGAAGTCCGGAGGGGTCCGAGTAAGGGACCAGTGACGTCTTTGCGGAGCTGATACTTGACGTCATCTCGACGTGGGTGGTCTGTCATGCGGCGGAAACATGCCAGGGTTTCGTTTGTTGTAGCCTTTGCGGCTGCTTGTCTTTGGCGCCCAGCTGAGTTGCTGCCGCTGATTGTCAGGCGGCGAAACGCCTGGAGTGCAGCTGTCGCCACCGCCTATTGTTTGACGTCAAGAATTTGACGCGACAGATTTCGTTGTTACTGAAGAGTTGAGCCCTGTTTGGCCAGCACCCCTTGTGAAATCGAGTCCATATGCGATTGAGTTGCCTTTTGGCTAAACCTTCAGACGGGGGCTGGTATGTGAAGATGGAACGGCTGCGAAACGATTTTGACCCTTGTGAACTTCTGCGATCCGCCTGCTGTAGATCTCTCGAACAGGCGAGCATTGGCCCCGCCGATCAGATCATCTACGTCTCGAACGGGAGGGAGTCCCCGAGGTCGACGCCCTGGCGATCTGCTGGCGGTTTTCCTGCTTTTGGTGTCAATGATGTAGACTATTTCACTCAAGCAACAGACCAACATATCAAGACTATATTTTACACCAAAGCTTGGAAGAGCATGTATTTTCTCTCGCACAGGCAAGCATTGGCACCGCCGATCAGATCACTTACGCCCTCCCGAAGCCGACGCCCGAGCAATCTGCTGGCAGTTTTCCTACCTGTGTGTCAAATGTAGACAATCTCACTGCGCAAGTGACCAACAACTTTAGAATTCTGTTCTTACCAAACCCGAGAGAATCCTTGGAAAAGCGTGTAATATTCCTCGAACAGGCGAGTATTGGCACCGCCGATCAGATCATCTACGCTCTCACCCGTGAAGGAGTCCCCGAGGCCGACGCTCGGGCGATCTGTTGGCAGTTCGACTCTCGGGGCCTCATCTACCGGGGCAGAAGCTCCCTTACCGACCGGAAAGCGGCGTTTGCACATCCCTTACGGGAGAACACGTTCGACCCAACTTCGCTTCCTTCGACGATCGAGGCGCTGAGACCGACGATCCTGATTGGGGCGGCGGGAGTGAAGGGCGCCTTTGATGAGAAGGTGAGGTGGTTTGGCATCATTCTGGGTGTACGTATTGGAATAGTGTTCTGGTAGAGCTTGCGCTGCTGTTCTTGAAATCCGAAGTCTTTTCCAAGGTTGGCGTTGCTTCAGTGGGACGTTTCGCAGTTGCACGAAGGTTCGGCCTGCGGTTCTTCAGATTCGAACCTTTTGTGGAGGTTTGGAGCTCGCGGGTATCCACGTTGAAGACCACAGCGTTTCCTTTGACAACAGCTCGGCCCGAAAGGATCGCTCTTATTCCGCCCATGACTGGCGGGGTTCTTGCCCGGTGCAGTCAGTTGAGTGGCCGCAGATCTATACAAAGATACTGCAGATCTGTTTTCCCGCCCTTAGCGCCAATTAGTGGGAAACCTAAGTGTAGTGAACTTGTCTTTGTTGTCACCTTTCTTTTCGTCCCCTGCGTGGAACCGTTGAGTCTGATGGAAAAACTCACGTCGAACGATAGTTCGTTCCTCCTCGTAAAGGGCATTTGTACACGGGCTCCCTCTCCTTTGACCGGCGCAATCCCTTTTCAAGAATATGACAGTTTCCTCCTTACTGATTGGCTATGCCACGGCATCACCTCTTTTTTTCAACGGCCCTGCTTCTATCTTCCGGTTATCCATACCTCTACAGACTGTTTTCCTTATCCGGTATCCATGTTCCCTGTCAAGGTATATGTCCCACTGTATCGCTTTTAGTATTATTTCCCCAGTACAGCCCATCCATCAACACCGAAACACCCCGTCCGCTCCTCGGGAACTCTGAACCGTGCATGTTTCTGCAGGTCCTGAAGAGCATGGCAGCAGTCACCGATCGCCCAATCATTTTCGCTCTATCGAACCCTGTGTCGAAATCAGAGTGCACTCCCTGGGAAGCCGTCTTCGAAACCAAGGGCCGCGCGGTTTTCGCCAGCGGAAGCCCCTTCAAACCCATCGTTTACGATAACCAGACCATGACCACAGGGTTTGCAAACAACGCGTTTATATTCCCCGGGGTCGGGTTGGGTACAATCTCCTCGGGAGCGACAGCTGTCACCGACGAAATGATGTATTCCGCTGCGATAGCGCTGGCGGAATGTGTAACGGAAGCGGACCTTTCCGCCGGAAGCGTCTATCCGTCCGCTAGTGGGATTAGGGACACCGCGTTGACAGTAGCGGCTGCCGTTGCGGCCAGTGCGGCAAGCGAGATGGTGGCGTCGTCAGTGAAAAGCGCGCAGCTTTGTTCTGCCGCGCAAGGACGGGACGCTGCCGCGTGGAGGCAGTGCATTGAGGGGCAGCGGTATCAACCGCAGTCCGCAGATCAGACAAGATGATGTTGTATGTAGGTCCTCGATGAGTGAACTAGGACGCGTTGCAGTTTTGTTAGATTAGGTTGCGCGCTAGATAAAGCGTTACCAGTGAAGTTGCTGACCATATGACAGCTTCATGGGGCAATCTGGCCCATTCAAATTGACGGTACTTGTTGAGCTATCGCTCCGGTTCCGTCACTGTGAACAGAAAGCCTCACCGTCATGGTTGCATAACGTAGTACATGATCACTATCTGCATTACTCCGCGGCCGCCGCGCCATGCGAGCTTCCAATCATATAGCGTCTGCAGCTAGCTATACTGCACGGTCGATATGTGCGCAGCCCCTCGTACTAAGTTCGAGCGGACGGACTGTTTTTAGCTGTTCAGTTTCAATGAATCGCTAGTCCGTATACTGATCCAGACAACGACTCTTCGCAATTGCAATGCTGCCCGAGCATGCGAGCGGATCGATGAATGGAACGTGATGATCGGATGCACACATATTATGGGTTTGCACAATCGGCTTATCATAGTATAGCCAGAATGGTACTAGACCACATGGTATACTAAGCTGATGATTGATCGCGGAGATGCCAACAATGTCAACGATTCAGTCTAAGTTCGCCGTCCGACATCTTCGTTAGACGACAACTTGATGTTGTCGATGCTCTCTCGATTCCATGAACGGTAAAACTCTCAGCTTGTACACAACTGTCACCTAACTTCCGTTAAAATACAAATGGTTCGCTTGTCTATCTGTCAACCTCAAAGCCCGCTATTCAGGCATGCCCTTCGAGGAGCGCAACACAGCATAACAAGCGTTTTGTACAATAAACACAGTCGTGGCGCGACACAGCGTAACAAGTGTTATGTAAAATAAAAACCTTTCGTCACTCAATCGGAACCTGAGGAGAAACTGCTATTGAATGTCAGTACCTGACGTTTTGGTTCATCCTGGATCTAATTCTGGTAACCTGCGCAGAAAAGTACTGAACCCAGATCAGTACCGAAGTAAGCGCAATCAGCCCGCACAAGCAGGCTAGCAAGGATAGGCTGATTGACTCGGGTGACAGCTGTGACTTTCAAAGGTCAGACGGAGCCAACAATCGCACAAGAAGCACACCAAAGTGGGTGGCCATCGAACGAGAGTGATCGACGAAACAAAGTGGAGGCAAGCGCAGGAGAGCAGTGGAAGAGGTTGCCTCCTGCAAGATGCATCTCCTGAAAACGAACGACTATCTGAAAGAGCGGCCTGTGAGCACGCAATGACACAGTGAAGGATGTATGCGTTGACAGCACTTCCTCACCCTTCCGCTTCGATCTCCGCCCTTTCGAACAGATACTCAGCCACGATCCCCTCCTCTTCCAAATCTTCCGCCGTCTGATTTACTTCCCTAGAAATTTCCCCTCTTCTTCTCGCCTCAGCATCTTTGTTCACCCTCACAACCTTCCCGGGCGTAATCGCCTCCGATCGGACGGCCGACTCTACCCCGGAAAACACATTTGACCGGTCCAAAAAGTGTACGAACGCGCCCAGGGCAAGCAGGTCCGAATCGCCGACTCGGACGCCGTTCACTGTGAGCCGGCCGGACTTCCCCTCTCGGAGGAAAAGCAGAGGGTACCCGTTTAAAGAACGTAAAATTACCGCGCGGCGGGCGGGTATGTCACGGGTGAGAATCTGAGCCTCGACAGTGTAGAACGGGAGGAGCTGCAAGAAGAGCGAAAAGCATAGACTGACTGTCGAAGCGATTCAGAAAACAAGAGCTAGAAGGGGTCGGAGATAAGTAAGGCTGACGCCCAACAGGGGAAGCTGCCGGGAGCGCATGGGAATCAAGCCGATACAGAGCATGGGGGCTCCCTAAAACGGGAGGGGAGCGCTACAATAGATGCGGTTTTCAATCTGAGGGCCGGAGTTGCGGCGCATGAATCGCCAGTTTCAAACTCGGAGATGAAGCTCGAGCACAGCTGTCACTTCGATTGTATAACGGCGAAGTTGTTTGACAATGTGAAATCAGTTGCCGACGCTGAGGTCGAATCATTCTGTCAAGCAAATAGACAATCTGAAATCTGTCAAGAGATGCTGGTTTCAAAAAGTATCCGTATAATCAGAATAGGACTTGGATCAACCCAACGTCCACAAGTGAACCATTATCTGACGTCTTCAACTTGCTTTCCTGACTTGCCAATCCCTCCGTTATGTTCCAAGGGGTAACAACCAAATGGGATCTTTCTTCAGGCCAAGAGAGTCGCGGGTCACGACTCGAAAACTTACCACCTTGCTTCGCTGACAGGTTGCCGTTCCTAAGGAAAAGATGAAAAGAATGAAACGAAACACACTGTTTTCCCTTACCCTAGGCAGCAACCTAGGTACATTCCGCCAATCTCCAGTGTCACCGAAGATGGTATGGGCCAGGGTAATTAGGGCCAGGTCGGAGGGGACAAACAGTGTGAACGGGCCTGGCCCATACTCCCGCAACTCCTTGAGCATTGAGCCTGCAAGGAAGAAAATGGGCGGAGAATGGCTGCCCGCTGCTAAGATTGACATACGTATAAGAAATATAGAAATCCGAGAAAACCTGCTTTGGTTGACCGACTGTGGACTCATTGCTGGTATGACAGCTTGAAAAGTTTTCGTAAGCATCAAAAACTCCAAGAACCAAGCCGTCCCCGAATCAGTGTCCACAAAGTGATCCACTTGAGCTTTCTGTACCACAAGCTTGAAAGCCAGGAGGATCTAGAAAAAAGTAAGGCAGGCAATCAGGGAAAGTTCGACACTCTGTTGTTGAGAAAGCTTCCTGTGGGTCACAGGGCTGGGGACGATCTGAAGCCCACCTGCGAACTCTGGCATGTCCCTTTGTGCAAGCACCCTTGGTTCAAAAGGTTTAGGGACGGGTTGTGGTCTCAGAAACTGATGAGTCCCATGTTGTGGCCCCAGAGGATGATATGGTGTATGCTCTTCAGCGTCCTCATCTGGAGAAGCATGTAATAATCAAGTCAACACGAAGCCGTTCAAGGTGACGGGAGAGCCACACTTGCAGCCTAGTGTAGATCATCAGAGGCACTTGTCATTCTGAAGTGTAAGTATCCAGGCTCTACGGGAACCTGTTCAGGATTGAACGGTCCACAGTTCATCATGGTGAATCATCACGTGACAAGAAAGTTGGTTGAAATACTTTCTGGTGATGGCAACAAGTTGGGCGAGAGTCTGGTAGAATCCAAGAAGGCTTGCATAAAAGAGACTGTCTACACACTCTCCTACAGTATCCAAAGCTGGTAACGTCAGTGATTGGAGCAATCCTCCGTGCATAGGTAGTAAAGTAGCTTATTGCCATTCCCCTTCAGCTGGACTCACCATTATAACCAAGATAGAACAGGATCCCAAAGATACAGGCGAGCACGAAGAACGCCCCCCGTGCCTGCTTGCGCGCAAGCTGCCCCCTCTTTGCTGCTGTATTTGCATCTATCCAAGCTGGTTGGTTGTCATTCAGTGGTGCTGATTGAGCTGAGGAAAAGTAGAATTCGTCCATGATCAACAGCCAGGAAAGATCTGGCTGGACCTAAAGTATTATAGTATTCCTACATGTTACCTTAGTTTCCATCTTCATCACTAGCCAATCACAATGTCGGTTGCAGCTAGAAACCAGCTTTCTACATTCTCGGTTCTTCCCAACGGACTCTTTCCTGGCAGCAGCAAAGCGCAGCCAGCACTCAAGTTACTGAGGCGCACATGTATCAAGCAATTCCGACTCCTGCAATATCACTGGCGCTGAACTCTGGACATTGAAGTCACAACGTATGGCATTAATAGATGCAGGCGAATACACCTGATGCTACACACTTTCACCCTTCCACCAAGATGATTCCATATAAGTCACCTGCTTTAAGTTGTGTCGAACAGGAGAAAGGCGTGGTCTCATAACACTTTTACAGTGACGGCACGAACGCCGACGGGCTGTGTCATGGGTCGGGGGCTTGGCGGCTGGCGGGCTACTCACCCTCGCTTGCGGGGGGTGGGGCACGGCGGCGGGGGCGTAGCAGAAAACGGAGTGTCGGTGAGAGGTCGGGGGGTTGGAGGTGGCGGCGGCGGCGGCCGGCGGTGCGTATAGCAAGCGCTTCAGCGGCGTGCTGCCATGGGCAGCGCTTTACAAATGAAGTCGATCTTGAATTTGGCCTACTAAGTTAAGTGGAAACATACATCACATATGATGCACACAACGATTATCGGGTGAAGACCTCAGACATATTCATATACAATGATAGCGAACAATGAGATCGAGATCCCTGTTCGGCCGACAGCTAGGCCCGGGGCCCGGCCATGCATATAGATTGTCTGGAACCCCCGCTATGCATCGTGAGTCATCATAGGCGTTTCAGTCAATTGCGACACAATCAATAATGTCAATCAAAAATTTGTGGTAGGATATTTCAAGTCACTGTATATGTTTTCAAATGTATGCCTTGTCGACAAAAAGATGAGTACGTCGCACAAACATTCATCTGCTAGTATGCATGCTGAACGTTCGTAATCCATATGCAAAGCCAAATAAATCCTTCACTGAGTCAAGTTGCAGATCCTATGAACACAGCATTCGCCAAATAAACGAGCTTAGACATCCCGCGACTCGCCGCCAATTGGTCGCGCGGCCCTGATTCAGCAAGACAATTCACTTGGCTTTATAGTATAGTGAATCATTTGTGATCTTCATCATTATCGTTCATCTGCACAATGTCGAAAGATAGCGGACTTCTGCCCTGACACCAAAGGGACAATGTGGGTTCTATAATCGATGTAACATCGATAGATGCTAGCGTATGATCCCACTCAAACGATCATATACCGATTCGGCTATAATCCTCTTCGTTATACACAATAAACAGACTACACTTACAGTCAAGCCCTTCCTGCAATAACATAAGAAAAGTCCACCCACCCGCGTTCATCGGAATCGCGCGGGAACTTGTACAGGCCGACCTGACCTGCTGGCCTTTATTCTCGCATCCTTTGCGGAGACTCTCTCTGCTTCCGCCGACAGGGCAGACTTCTCATCACAACCAGAGCACAACCATTCGACCCCGTCTTCTAAGACATCATCTGGATACTCTATTTTCGCCTGATCTAGACACTCTAAGTGGAAGCCTCTATCACACCCATCGCAGAGAACTTGCTCGTCTTCTTCCCCGTGGTTAACCTCACACAACCCGCACAGGTCGGAGAGCGAGCGCCCTCGTTCTCGCTCCTCGACCAACGTCTCTCGTGCTCGAAACGCCTCCACTGCATCCAGGACTTTCCTGCGCTCACTTTCGGGCAGCCTGTAGCCACCCTCGCACGCCTCCATTCTGATGCCCTCAACCGCACGACGAGCTTTCGCCTCCGTGTCTTCCCGTTCCCAAACGTACACCTCCGGCGCCGCGGCTCCGATCGACAACCATTCGATGCTCAACTCGGTTCTGCTGCCCGGTTCAAACCCGTTGTCGACCGCTAACCAGAAGTCAGCGTCATCACCAATCGCTGCACTTCGTCCATGCCAGTCCACCGAGACGACAAAGGCGGAGCACACCTTTCCACTGTCGTGAGCGCCCCTGCTGGCCGCACCATCGTCGACCGTTCTTGCCGGGCAGGCCGCCTCCCCGTGGCCGGTTTCTCCGCACAACGGACAACCAGCCCGTGTCTCTCTACCGGCCGCCCCCTGACGTTCCCCTCCCCCCAGATTCGCAGCCCGCCTGCTTGCGGTTGCCCGTTTCCGAGCGTCCGCTTGCAGCTTTTGGACCTGCCAACGCTGCACTTGCGCAACCGCGTCCGCTGCCTCGCAGCAGCCGTTGACGTTGTGCTCCACAAACAACTCCACCTGGGCCGCTGGAAAGTTGAAGTCTCGCCTCTCGAGCTCTGCCCTCAGCAGTCTTGACGGCAAGCACCTGGAAGCGAAGAGTATAAAGTCACTGACCTGTAGCTCCCACCCCAGTCACTTAACTGACTTCAGTAACTTAGGTCAGTCAACTTAACCCCAACCGACTGCCTACGTTACCTTTAAACTGTTGCTCTGTTAGTTGCTTACCCAACCGGATAGTAATCTGGTCAGTAACAAGTCTCTTTGACCGAAACCTGACTATCTGAGTGGATGCGTTAGCGCCGACCTGCAGTTTGCACGACCGTCTTCACTAGCTTCCGTAACCTGGGCAGTCAGGTTGATTACTGACCGAGCTGAGTAATCAGGTTAGCTTGAGCACCGACCTGTAGCTGTATTTAGTTGGTCTAACTGACTAATGTAACCTAGATTGGTTAAGTTAGTCACTGCCCTAGCAGTAATTACCTAAAACTGACGGTTAGCTGACCTTTGACTGACCAAGAACCTAGTCAACCAGGTCGGTCAGTGACCCATTTAAGTTTGGCCAGTGCAAACGATGGACGTACATGCAACTCTGGCCAATCAGAATGAAATCTGAACCGAAGAAACGAGCGCATGACCCAAAAGAATTGAACCCGTGGGACGACAACAAACGGCGAGGGAGACAGGAGACTCGAACCAGGAGCAACAGAAACAGCCGGCCAGGGCCACACGAAGGCCAATTCAGAAACCGGAACCTGATCGCTTTCAGTACTGGACAAAACCGGACAGATATTGAACGACCGACCAACCCATGCAAAGAAACAGAATGCTTACCGGTCAGTCGACGACGCCTCCCCGGGCGGATGATCCCCGTTTGCCGCCCGCTCTTCTGACGTCTGAAACTTACCGGTTTCCGCAAATTGCGGAGTGCCGAGGAAGGCCCTTTCCCGGCACTCCTCGT